ATTCGTCACCGGTGTTGGTGGCCGTGAGCGGGACTCGAGCTCGCTGGCGCCGGGTTCGTAGTGCAGCGGAGTGCTCGAACCGCTACACCACCGCTACTTTATAGGGGCGCTTTATGCCAACCGTTAAGACGCGAGAAGAGTCTCAAGGCTTCCTTTTCAGGAGGCTCCTGCCAGCTCTCCGCAGTAGCGGGTGGGTGCAATAATTACTGAGGCTCTCCTGCTGCTGCTGCTGCGTAACGTTTGAGTATTGGGATGTTGTGAGTTGTGCTTGTCTCTCTCCAAGGCCGTAGCCATGGAGTAAACATTGGGGGGGACTAAATCTTCCAGGGGGTCTAGGCCCCCCCCCCCCGCCCAGAAAAAAATCTAAATTTGAAAACAAATTTCCTGCCTAAAATATTTAAAAATTCACTAACACATGGGATGGACTTTATTGTTTACAATAATGTCTTGTAGTGTATTGTATTACATTGCTCTGTTTTTTCACCATTTATTGTTTCATTGTATGCAATGACAGAGATTAGGGATTTATAAAGTACAACCTTAACCACAATCATATAAGCAGAAATCTATGCTTTGTTACAGTGAGGAAAAAAGTCTTTGATCCCCTGCTGATTTTGTACGTTTGCCCACTGACAAAGAAATGATCATACTCTTTGGTTCTATTCGGTAAAGTCACGTAGGTAAAAAATAAAACAACAAAAATCACGACGTTTCGGCCACAACACAAGTGGCCTTCATCAGGTGAAGGGACTAGACTGTCCAGAGGACAGCGCTGGAGTGAAACACAGCCACGCTCAGACCGCGACCTTTAAGCTGTGTGCGAGGAAACAAGGTGCCTTGACAAAGGAATTAGAATAAAAATTAGCATTTGATTGGCCGACTTAGCATAGAGGTGTTGTACGGGTGCACATGCCGGTTGGCGCGGGGGGGGGGGGGAGTTTACCTATTGATGGTGTGAAAAGGGAATTTTTAAGAGATGCGAAAGTTTGGGGTACCACTACTTGAAAAATATACTGTACCATTGAAAATTAGTTTAATGTTTGGTTCGATTTAGAACATCTTTCCAATGGTTGCTTAATTTGAAACCATCTTCTCGGTTGAAATTGTGTCTGTGTTTGTAGATCTGAATGCCTCGTGAACAAATCTCTGATAAAAACCCGTGGGTTTGCAAAGAACCTTGGTATCGGAGAAAATTATATCGTGAACCAAGGTTCTTTGCAAACCCACGGGTTTTATCAGAGATTTGTTCACGAGGCAATTCAGATTTACAAACACAGACACAATTTCAACCGAGAAGATGGTTTCAAATTAAGCAACCATTGGAAAGATGTTCTAAATCGAACCAAACATTAAACTAATTTTCAATGGTACAGTATATTCTTTCAAGTAGTGGTACCCCAAACTTTCGCAGCTTCTTAAAATTCCCTTTTCACACCACCAGCATGTGGACTCTACCTTGCCCCCTCGCCAGCCTGCACATGTTCACCCCCTCCCCACCTTTCATCATGCTAAGTCCGCCTATTAAATGCAAATTTTCATGCTAATTCCTTTGTCAAGGCACCTTAATTACTCTCACACAGCTTAAAGGTCGCGGTCTGAGCGTGGCTGTGTTCACTCCAGCGCTGTCCTCTGGACAGTCCAGTACCTTCACCTGATGAAGGCTACTTGTGTTGCGGCCGAAACGTCGTGATTTTTTTTGTTCTTTTATTTTTTACCTACGTGACTTTACCGAATAGAACCAAAGAGTATGGATCCTTGCAGTCACGAAAGCTTCAAATCTAGAATTGAAGCTCCCTTTCGCGCAGGTGTCCAGCCGGGCCACGGGGTAAGAACGTTGCAACAACAAACAGTTACAAATAGCTCGGAGAGCAGCGCAAAGTGCACGGAATTTAAACAAATCACACAAACACTAAACCATTCCCCATCGTACCAGGCGAAGCCCACTGAGGTGTTAACTTATTTGTCAGAAGCGAGTTGGCTATCGCGAATGATAGCGCATCAAAGTGGCTCATCATTTGGACATTTATAGCAGCACAACATGTGTCTACATTATCTCAATGCGAGTTTCTAAACGTGGAGGGGACACCCCGGAGGAAAAAAATCCACGCGACCACGGGAAAAGAGACAACGCAAACTGCAAATAAACATCAGGCGTCAGGTGCGGGATCGAACCCACGACCTCCTGCATACCAGGCGAGGTCGTTAACATTTACACATCCCATCAGCACCGCGACGACATTGTGAGAATGAATAAATCCAGTGGCATTCATTCAGGACCAGCACGACGACGGAGAGGTTTTGACACTGACATTGTCTCGTCAGTGAAATCCCGGCAAGCTGCTCAGACATACCGGTGAGCGGCCCAGATGCTGCAGGGATAATCTCTCTCTCTCTCTCAAAATCACAGCAACGCCTCACACTCACAAGGACTATTCTGTACGATCTCGGCAACATTCACATTAAAACATCAGCAATAAAAGAGTTGCTCTTTAGGGGGGGCTGGCGCCTGTCATGCGAATGTGGAGTTCTCCACCGTGCTTTGGGGCTGCATGTGGAGATGAGCGATGTCGTTCGTTGTCGTGCATCTGTCCTCATAACCATCATCACACCATCACATGTCTCATCATCACACCATCACATGTCTCATCATCACACCATCACATGTCTCATCATCACCATCACATGTCTCATCACCATCACATGTCCCATCATCACCATCACATGTCCCATCATCACCATCACATGTCCCATCATCACACCATCACATGTCCCATCATCACCATCACGCAATAACCCCCATCACCTCCCCATCTCTTACCCTAACACCATCACATGTCCCATCATCACCATCACACGATAACCTCCATCACCTCCCCATCTCTTACCCCAACACCATCACATGTCCCATCATCACCATCACGCGATAACCCCCATCACCTCCCAATCTCTTACCCTAACACCATCACATTCATCATCATCACCATCACACGATAACCTCCATCACCTCCCCATCTCTTACCCCAACACCATCACATGTCCCATCATCACCATCACGCGATAACCCCCATCACCTCCCAATCTCTTACCCTAACACCATCACATTCATCATCATCACCATCACACGATAAACTCCATCACCTCCCCATCTCTTACCCTAACACCATCACATGTCCCATCATCACCATCACACGATAACGTCCATCACCTCCCCATCTCTTACCCCAACACCATCACATGTCCCATCATCACCATCACGCGATAACCCCCATCACCTCCCAATCTCTTACCCTAACACCATCACATGTCCCATCATCACCATCACACGAAAACCTCCATCACCTCCCCATCTCTTACCCCAACACCATCACATGTCCCATCATCACCATCACGCGATAACCCCCATCACCTCCCAATCTCTTACCCTAACACCATCACATTCATCATCATCACCATCACGCGATAACCCCCATCACCTCCCCATCTCTTACCCCAACACCATCACATGTCCCATCATCACCATCACGCGATAACCCCCATCACCTCTCAATCTCTTACCCTAACACCATCACATTCATCATCATCACCATCACGCGATAACCCCCATCACCTCCCCATCTCTTACCCTAACACCATCACATGTCCCATCATCACCATCACACGATAACCTCCATCACCTCCCCATCTCTTACCCCAACACCATCACATGTCCCATCATCACCATCACGCGATAACCCCCATCACCTCCCAATCTCTTACCCTAACACCATCACATTCATCATCATCACCATCACACGATAACCTCCATCACCTCCCCATCTCTTACCCCCACACCATCACATGTCCCATCATCACCATCACGCGATAACCCCCATCACCTCCCCATCTCTTACCCCAACACCATCACATTCATCACCATCACACGATAACCCCCATCACCACCCCCATCTCTTACCCAACACCATCACATTTATCACCATCACACGATAACCTCCATCACCACCCCATCTCTTACCCCCACACCATCACATTCATCACCATCACACGATAATCCCCATCACCTCCCCATCTCTTACCCCAACACCATCACATTCATCACCATCACACGATAACCTCCATCACCTCCCCATCTCTTACCCAACACCATCACATTCATCATCACACGATAACCCCCATCACCACCCTATCTCTTACCCCACATCATCACATTCATCATCATCACACGATAACCACCATCACCCGGCACCATCACCCCATCTCTCACCCCACACATCACACATTAATTACCATCATCCCACCTCTCACTTCACACCATCACACACTAACCCCCATCACCACCATCACCCCACCTGCTACCCCTTATCATTACACATTCATCATCATCATCACACGCGAAGCGCCATCACCCGGCACCATCACACATTCATCATCACCATCGCACGCGATCCGCCATCACCACCATCACCCCACACCATCACATTCACCACCATCGCACGCGAACCCCCATCACCACCACCATCACCCCACCTCTCACCCCACACCATCACATTCATCATCATCACACGCCATCCCTCATCACACCACACCATCACATTCATCATCATCATCACACGCCATCCCCCATCACCACCACCATCACCCCACCTCTCACCCCACACCATCACATTCATCATCATCATCATCACACGCCATCCCCCATCACACCACACCATCACATTCATGATCATCATCATCATCATCACACGCCATCACCACCACCATCACCCCACCTCTCACCCCACACCATCACATTCATCATCATCATCATCACACGCCATCCCCCATCACCCCACACCATCACATTCATCATCATCACACGCCATCCCCCATCATCACCACCATCACCCCACCTCCCACCCCACACCATCACATTCATCATCATCATCATCACACGCCATCCCCCATCACCCCACACCATCACATTCATCATCACCATCATCGCACGCGACCCCCCATCGCCACCACCATCGCCAACCCCACGGCATCACGCACGCGCCCACGCACGCACGCGCACGCGCGCGCGCCCCCTGGGTGTTCGTGATGAGCGGGCGGCTCCGGCGCGCGTGCGTCACGCGGAGGAGACGGAACGTGACGACGAGGAGGAACGTGACATAGGGAGCAGCAAGAGACCGACACTCTCTCACCTCATCACCCAGCTCATCACCACCGCATCACCATCCCTTCGTCACCAGCTCACGATCCATCACATCAACCTCGGCACCTCGTCGATTAATTCAACTGGCCGGACCGCTGTCTCCATCATCGCCGTCATCAATCAGCTCGACGATGAACCCAGACACCTCTTCAGTGAGGAGGTGGCTGCTGTCACCGCAACGGTGAAGCGAGTGAGTAATGCTTTCTTGGTATTCACCTCATCATCACCACTAACGTCAGTACATCATCAGTACATCATCAGTACATCATTACCACTAACGTCAGTACAGCATCAGTACATCATCACTACTAACGTCAGTACATCATCACCACTAACGTCAGTACATCGTCAGTACATCATCACCACTAACGTCAGTACATCATCAGTACATCATCACCACTAACGTCAGTACATCGTCAGTACATCATCACCACTAACGTCAGTACATCATCAGTACATCATCACCACTAACGTCAGTACATCATCAGTACATCATCATCACTAACGTCAGTACATCATCAGTACATCATCAGTACATCATCACCACTAACGTCAGTACATCATCAGTACATCATCACCACTAACGTCAGTACATCATCAGTACATCATCACCACTAACATCAGTACATCATCAGTACATCATCAGTACATCATCACCACTAACGTCAGTACATCATCAGTACATCATCATCACTAACGCCAGTACATCATCAGTACATCATCAGTACATCATCACCACTAACGCCAGTACATGATCAGTACATCATCAGTACATCATCACCACTAACGTCAGTACATCGTCAGTACATCATCACCACTAACGTCAGTACATCATCAATGCATCATCAGTGCATCATCATCATCATCAGTGCATCATCAGATATTCTTCATGACATCATCACCACCACCATCATGATCACTATCGTCATCAGTACAATCATCATCATCATTGCACCGTATTCACCATCAACACCATCAGTACATCATCATTGCACCGTATTCACCATCAATACCATCAGTTCATCATCATCATCATTGCACCGTATTCACCATCAATACCATCAGTTCATCATCATCATCATTGCACCGTATTCACCATCAATACATCAGTACATCATCATCATTGCACCGTATTCACCATCAATACCATCAGTACATCATCATCATTGCACCGTATTCACCATCAATACCATCAGTTCATCATCATCATTGCACCGTATTCACCATCAATACCATCAGTTCATCATCATCATCATTGCACCGTATTCACCATCAATACCATTAGTACATCATCATCATTGCACCGTATTCACCATCAATACCATTAGTACATCATCATCATCATTGCACCGTATTCACCATCAATACCATCAGTTCATCATCATCATCATTGCACCGTATTCACCATCAATACATCAGTACATCATCATCATTGCACCGTATTCACCATCAATACCATCAGTTCATCATCATCATCACACCGTATTTACCATCAATACCATCAGTACATCATCATCATCGCACCGTATTCACCATCAATACCCTCAGTACATCATCATCCCACCGTATTCACCATAAATACCATCAGTACATCATCATATTCATCATCGCATCATCACCAAAGTGATCTCAATCAACATGGTTAGTACATTATATTATCCATTACATCATCATGATTACTAAGGTCCATCATAGTAATCAAATATCAATACCAGCATCGTCACTACAATCAGCAGACCATCACTGAATCACCATCAATACATCATTACGTCATATTTGCCATCATCGTGATTACCATGATCATTACCGCAATCATCATTATCATCACCACGGTAATCATAATCATTACATCATAACATCATCATTGCTTTATTGTTACAAATCAGAATCATCTCCATCAGCATCAACACCATCATCAGGATTATTATCAGTGGCAGCATAGCGAGCATCATCATCATCACCACCGCAATCATCTTCACCATCACGGCCAACAAGAGCATCACGGCTGACGATTTGTAGAGGTCATGAGTCGTGTGTGAGTTGTGTGTGTGGTGTGTGTGTGAGGTGTGTGTGTGTGAGGTGTGTGTGTGTGTGAGTTGTGTGTGTGAGGTGTGTGTGTGTGAGGTGTGTGTGAGTTGTGTGTGTGTGTGTGTGAGGTGTGTGTGAGTTGTGTGTGTGAGGTGTGTGTGTGAGGTGCGTGTGTGTGCGAGTTGTGTGTGTGTGTGAGTTGTGTGTGTGAGTTGTGTGTGTGTTAGTTGTGTGTGTGTGAGGTGTGTGTGTGTGTTAGTTGTGTGTGTGTGTGAGGTGTGTGTGTGTGTTGTGTGTGTGTGAGTTGTGTGTGTGAGTTGTGTGTGTGTGAGTTGTGTGAGTTGTGTGTGTGTGAGTTGTGTGTGTGTAAGTTGTGTGTGTGTGTGAGTTGTGTGTGTGAGTTGTGTGTGTGTAAGTTGTGTGTGTGTGAGTTGTGTGTGAGGTGTGTGTGTGTGAGTTGTGTGTGTTGTGTGTGTGTGTTGTGTGTGAGTTGTGTGAGTGAGTTGTGTGTGTGTGAGTTGTGTGTGTGTGAGTTGTGTGTGTGTGTGAGTTGTGTGTGTGAGTTGTTTGTGTGTGTGTGTGTGAGTTGTGTGTGAGGTGTGTGTGTGTGTGAGGTGTGTGTGTGTGTGAGTTGTGTGTGTGTGTTGTGTGTGTGTGAGCTGTGTGTGTGAGTCGTGTGTGTGTGAGGTGTGTGTGTATGTGTGCGTTGTGTGTGTGAGTTGTGTGTGTGTGTGAGTTGTGTGTGAGTTGTGTGTGTGTGTGAGAGAGTTTTGTGTGTGTGTGAGGTGTGTGTGTGTGTGCGTTTTGTGTGTGTGTTGTGTGTGAGTTGTGTGTGTGTGTTGTGTGTGTGTGTGAGTTGTGTGTGTGTGAGTTGTGTGTGTGTGAGTTTTGTGTGTGTGAGTTGTGTGTGTGAGTTGTTTGAGTTGTGTGTGTGAGTCGTGTGTGTGTGAGAGTTGTGTGTGTGTGTGAGTTGTGTGTGTGTGTGAGAGTTTTATGTGTGTGTGTGTGTGAGGTGTGTGTGTGTGTGAGTTGTGTGTGTGTGTGTGTTGTGTGTGTGTGAGTTGTGTGTGTGTGTCAGTTGTGTGTGTGTGAGTTGTGTATGTGAGGTGTGTGTGAGTCGCGTGTGTGTGTGAGTTGTGTGTGTGTGTGAGTTGTGTGTGTGTGAGTTGTGTGTGAGTTGTGTGTGTGTGTGTGTGAGTTGTGTGTGAGTCGTGTGTGTGAGGTGTGTGTCTGTGTGAGATGTGTGTGTGAGGTGTGTGTGTGAGTTGTGTGTGTGTGAGGTGTGTGTGTGTGTGTGTGAGTTGTGTGTGTGAGGTGTGTGTGTGAGTTGTGTGTGTGTGTGAGTTCTGTGGTGTGTGTGAGTTGTGTGTGTGTGTGTGAGTCGTGTGTGTCTGTGTAAGTTTTGTGTGTGAGTTCTGTGGTGTGTGTGTGAGGTGTGTATGTGAGTTGTATATGTGAGTTGTGTGTGTGAGTTGTGTGTGTGAGTTGTGTGTGTGAGTTGTATATGTGAGTTGTGTGTGTGTGAGTTGTGTGTGTGAGTTGTGTGTGTGAGTTGTGTGTGTGAGTTGTGTGTGTGTGTGAGTTGTGTGTGTGAGTTGTGTGTGTGAGTTGTGTGTGTGAGTTGTGTGTGTGTGAGTTGTGTGTGTGAGTTGTGAGTTGTGTGTGTGAGTTGTGTGTGTGTGAGTTGTGTGTGTGTGTGAGTTGTGTGTGTGAGGTGTGTGTTGTGTGTGTGTGAGTTGTGTGTGTGAGTTGTGTGTGTGTGTGAGTTGTGTGTGTGAGTTGTGAGTTGTGTGTGTGTGTGAGTTGTGTGTGTTGTGTGTGTGTGAGTTGTGTTGTGTGTTGTGTGTGTGTGAGTTGTGAGTTGTGTGAGTTGTGTGTGTGTGTGAGTTGTGTGTGTGTGTGAGTTGTGTGTGTGTGAGTTGTGTGTGTGTGTGAGTTGTGTGTGAGTTGTGTGTGTGTGTGAGTTGTGTGTGTGTGTGAGTTGTGTGTGTGAGTTGTGTGTGTGTGAGTTGTGTGTGTGAGTTGTGTGTGTGTTTGTGAGTTGTGTGTGTGAGTTGTGTGTGTGAGTTGTGTGTGTGTGTGTGAGTTGTGTGTGTGTGTGAGTTCTGTGTGTGTGTGTGTGAGTTGTGTGTGTGAGTTGTGTGTGTGAGTTGTGTGTGTGTGTGAGGTGTGTGTGTGTGTTGTGTGTGAGTTGTGTGTGTGTGTGAGTTGTGTGTGTGAGTTGTGTGTGTGAGTTGTGTGTGTGTGTGAGGTGTGTGTGTGTGTGTTGTGTGTGAGTTGTGTGTGTGTGAGTTGTGTGTGTGTGAGTTGTGTGTGTGAGTTGTGTGTGTGTTTGTGAGTTGTGTGTGTGAGTTGTGTGTGTGTGTGTGAGGTGTGTGTGTGTGAGTTGTGTGTGTGTTGTGTGTGAGTTGTGTGTGTGTGTGAGTTGTGTGTGAGTTGTGTGTGAGTTGCGTTGGAAGTGGTAGCGTAGTGTTTAGCGCTCCGCTGCGCTACAAACCCGGAGACCTGAGTTGGATTCCCACTCACGGCCAACACCGGTGACGATTCTCTGAACCGGCTCTGGCCCTCCCCTAGGTCGACTCGGCCACAAATGAGTACCTGGTGCGGTGTAAACATCGCCACTAGGGAGACAAAGGCGGCCGGTCGTGGTACTGGCCACGAATCCCCTCCTGTGCCATCCCGGCCTTCATAGGTGCTACTCGTTGACAGCACTTGCCCCTACAGTCTGTTTGGGCTATACGGGGGATCTTTGTTTGTGTTGACATCCCTGCATCACCACCATCATCATCACCATCATCATCATTACCAGAATCATCATCCACCACCACCATCATCATCCAAACATCAACAACAACACCATCAGCAATATCATCATCAGAATCGTCACCCACCCATCTCCATACCACCACCACGAACAAAGTCACAACATCATCACTAACAACATCATCACCAACAACATCATCACCAACAACATCATCACCAACATCATCACCAACAACATCATCACCAACAACATCATCACCAACATCATCACCAACAACATCATCACCAACAACATCATCACCAACAACATCATCACCAACATGATCACCAACAACATCATCACCAACAACATCATCACCAACATCATCATCACCAACAACATCATCACCAACAACATCATCATCACTAACAACATCATCACCAACAACATCATCACCAACATCATCACCAACAACATCATCACCAACAACATCATCACCAACAACATCACCAACAACATCATCACCAACATCATCATCACCAACAACATCATCACCAACATCACCAACAACATCATCACCAACATCATCACCAACAACATCATCACCAACAACATCATCACCAACATCATCACCAACAACATCATCACCAACAACATCATCACCAACAACATCACCAACAACATGATCACCAACATGATCACCAACAACATCATCACCAACAACATCATCACCATCATCATCACCAACAACATCATCACCAACAACATCATCATCACTAACAACATCATCACCAACAACATCATCACCAACATCATCACCAACAACATCATCACAAACAACATCATCACCAACATCATCACCAACAACATCATCACCAACAACATCATCACCAACATCATCATCACCAACAACATCATCACCAACAACATCATCATCACTAACAACATCATCACCAACAACATCATCACCAACATCATCACCAACAACATCATCACCAACATCATCACCAACAACATCATCACCAACATCATCATCACCAACAACATCATCACCAACATCACCAACAACATCATCACCAACATCATCACCAACAACATCATCACCAACAACATCATCACCAACATCACCAACATCATCACCAACAACATCATCACCAACAACATCATCACCAACAACATAATCACCAACAACATCATCACCAACAACATCATCACCAACAACATCATCACCAACATCATCATCACCAACAACATCATCATCACTAACAACATCATCACCAACAACATCATCACCAACATCATCAACAACATCATCACCAACAACATCATCACCAACAACATCATCACCAACAACATCATCATCACTAACAACATCATCACCAACATCATCACCAACATCATCATCAGTGTCAATGGGATAATCTTGTCACGTTGCCATGACAACTGTGTTAATTACGCTAATTATCAATCCAGTCACGCTCACAAAGCGCTCGCAGCACTGCGGGGGTGTTGAGGTCAGTGCCGTGCCCGACCGCCTTTGTCTCCCCAGTCCTAATGCGTGTGCGTCCGGTTTCATTTATTTAACAAACCCAGGCACTGAGTTAAGGCTGAGTCGACCTAAGGGATGTACAGAACCGACTCAGACATTCGTCACCGATGTCGTTGTGAACAGGAATCAAACTCGGATCGCCAGGCATTGACCCGGCGGTGACAGCGCGCTAACCACTGCGCCCACCGCTCATCCGTGCACACGTGACCACAGACTGCCGTGTGCAAGTGGCGGGTTCACGTCGCCACGGTGATGGTGCCAGGCTAGGTGCACTATGGCTTCTCCAACACACAACGCACCACAGCAGCATTCCGCTTGTCGTCTACACACAGACTGCTGGGCCAAAGTGCTGTTAGCGAGCACCTATTAAGGTCGCCGCCGGCGCCGAGGCGGGGGTGGGTGGTCAAGCACCACGCCCGGTCGCCTTTGTCTTCCCCAGTGGCGATGTTTTTACACACCGCACCAGGTACTCATTTGAGGCTGAGTCGACCCAGGGGAGACCCAGTACCGGTTCAGATATTCTCGCCACCGGTGTTCCAGGAATCGGAACTCGGGTCGATGCAGGGTTCACAGCGCGGTGCGCTAACCACTGTGCCACCGCTCCCCAAAGATCCCCCGTATAGCCTTAGCAGACTGTTGGGGCAAGTGCTGTCAGAGAGTAGCACGTGTGAAGGCCGGCACCAAGGCCGTAGCCATGGAGTCAACATTGGGGGGGGGGGACCAAATCTTCCAGGGGGTCTGGGGGTCCCAACCCAGAAAAATATCTACATTTGAAAACGAATTTCCTGCCTAAAATATTTTTAAAATTTCACGAACACATGGGATGGACTCTTTGTTTATTTCTTACAACAATGTCTAATAGTGTATATTGTATTACATTCCTCTGTTTTTACTTTTTTTACCATTTATTGTTTCATTGTATGTAATGGCAGTGATTAGGGGTTAATAAAGTACAACCACAATCATATAAACAGAAATCTATGCATTGATTTATATGAAGACAAGTCCAGATATTGTGGCCAAGGTTCAGCAAATAGTGTTTTTATTATTTACATAGCATAGCAATTATTTTTCATAGCAATATATTGGGGGGGGACATTTTGAGCATATTTGAATATTGTGTGGGTGGGGGGGGTGTGTGTCCCCCCCAATATAAATTACAATTACGACCTTGGCCGGCACGGCACACGAGGTGGGGGTGGGTGGCCAGCACCACGCCCGGCAGCAGCGCGATGCGCTCACCGCTGCGACACGCGGTGCACGGACGCACGCTCCCAGCCGCCAGTGCAGCCCTGCAGCCCTCCGTTGACTGCGAGCGGGTGAAGACTCCGATGCCATCGACGACGAGAAACCTCCCCTCCCCTCTCACGCTTTGAAAAATTGTCGTCGCGTAGAGCAAGCGGGGTGGGCCCCCGCAGGTCAGGAGACACGCGCACGAGGTTGTCGTACTTTAGTTTGAACAAATCGCGTAGGGATTTTGTTTATTTCATTTTGTTCTGAACGTTCAAACTGGGAGTGTCGTGCCGCCAGCTATGGCTGCACGTTTTTGTCGTACGTGTTATGTATATCGTTTATTGTTAAAATTTTAAATCGCAGTTCCTATGATTACTGTTGTTACATTGTTTTTGTAGCTTTATTTTGGCCTGGTTGTGGTGTAATAGTTTTCTGCGATGTAGATTCATATTTTGATTGTTGCGGTTGCACCCGACTTAAGAGCCGCATGGCTCACAGGGCTATAGCTCATAAATGAAACTTGAAACTTGACGCCCGTTAACGTTCATGCGCGATGGATGAATAATTATTCTTTTGGAATTAATTGAGGACTTATTTTGTCCTTGAGTGTAATCTATGAACATTGGGCGAGATGTTAACTACCTCCTCCTGGTATGCAGGAAGCCGTGGGTTCGATCCCCACCTCGACGCCTGCTGCTGTATATTTGGAGTTTGCGGTGTCTCTCAATCTCTCATCATCATCACGGTGAGTTTAACACGTGGGAGGCTTTCACGACCAATGTTATTCATAATAAAGGTTTTTGGGTTAGATCGCGTTATTTATAAATGTGTCGTAACCCTCCACCACCCGACACGGACAATCATCAAAAAAGTGTCACGTTGACAAAAGACAAATAGTTCACTACTTTAGCCGACCGGTGTGTTGAAGAGTGAATCCACAACATTTACATTTTGAGTAGTACGACGTTTCAATGGTAATTACATCCAGCATCATCGGGCAATTCGCCAGAATGGTGAAGCCCTCACTTGCTCCCGGTCTTAAATAGAGCAGCAGGGTGACGTCATTATTCAACTCATTCAGGTGCAGTGATTTGAGGCGGGGGGGGGGGGGATTACCAATCGATAATTATATAATCGATTGGTAATCAGTCAATGGTTATGATTAGTAATGAGTTGTAGATGAGTAATTAGTTGTAGTGTGTTATTGTGATTATATGCTACGTTAGTAATCCGTTAATTAGTATGTGTTTAACCCTATAAGGAATTATAGTATGTATTATTTAATAATACGCTTCCAAGCCGCACTAAGCCTGTAGCTGTCAGAGCGATTAAAGTTATTTTTATTCCTCTCAATTTCAATGGATTCTCGAATTAGTCTTTGCCAGTAATAATTAGTTTTACACAACACTTCAACGTTATCAAAATCAATTGAGTGTCCTTGTTGACAAGCATGTTCTGCCACTGCCGACAGTTGTGTTTGAGATAATTTAATATTTCTTTGGTGTTCTTTTAGTCTTTTGCTGATGTTACATCCCATCTGTCCAATATAGCATCTGCCACATAAACAATTAATCCGATATACACCTTCTGTTGACCATTTAGGTAATTCGTCTTTAGTGCAAGATACTAGTTTTTAAATTTTGTGTACTGTACCAAATCTTACTTTAATGTTTTGCTTTTGCAATACACGGGCTAATTTTTCAGTTACTCCTGAGATATATGCAATTTTAATTGTTTTAACAATCTGATCGCTTTCAGCAGTGTTGCTTTGCGATCGTGATTTGGCATTCAGTGCTCTGTTAATTTGAGTATTATTGTAGCCATTTAGAACGTAAGACTACTGCAATAATTGCAAATTAATCCCTAAGAATGAGCAATACCAAATTAAGCCAAGGGCCTCAAAACCACCTAGACTGTTTGGGCTACCAAAGATTCATAAAATCGGCATCCCATTACGACCCATAATTATTGTTTTATTTTATTTGTAAAACAATAATTATAATACAAATATTATTTTATTATATCCCTTCTACGTGACTTTACCGAAAGAACCAAGAAAATGAATCCCTGCAGTCACGAAAGCTTTAAAATCGAAATGTATCGTCATTGTTGTCAGGATCAAGCTGCGTGTGCATCACAGCCATCGCGCACCACCTGGAATTCTGATGACCAGCAGGCGTTAAGATGTTCAAAAACCAAATATAAACCTTGTGCAAGGCATCAAGTTACTACATTAACCACACACAGTTTTTGTGGAAAAACATGCAAACATTATCTGATAATATTTGCATGCTCATTGGTCTTTTAGGTAAATTATATTAATATAATTTTATTGTATTTCTACATACGTGACTTTACTGACTTTACCGAAAAAAACAATGAGTAATTTTATGCAGTCACGAAAGCTTTAATACTTTATTAATATTTGCATAGTCTTTCAAATGCATATATTATTGGATACTGGCAAAAAGGTCCCACGATATAGCTGCTGCTCACCCCCAGCTATAAATTCTCCGTTACGTGTGGCATTGCCTTTGTACTGTTCGCCTTTTAGCGTTCTAGGGTCTGACACTGGTGATACTAGGCCACAAAGAAGGCTGCCTCTGGTGTAGGCCAATCAGTTACAAAGACAATGCATACATTATTATTATTAGAGCATGTTTTGTTTGCATGTTCACCACAAGGACGTGTGGTTTAATGCCTTGCAAAAGGTTTATATTTGTTGCTCGAATATCTTAACGCCTCCTGTTTTATTTCTAGAAAGGTTAAACATCGATTCTTACACACGCATCTGATAGCAATATACACGCGACCAATTCTACCCTCTAATGAATGTTAAATTAGTTGGCGACGCTGCCGCTAGGATGGTGGCGGTACACGAGCATAGAAGAACGACCTAATTCTAGATTTGAGGTTTTCGTGACTGCAGGGATCCATGCTCTTTGGCTCTTTCGGTAAAGTCATCACGTAGGTAGAAAATGAAATAAATTAATTCACGACGTTTCGATTGCAACACAAGCAATCATCATCAGGTGGGAAAACCACAGCAAGAAAATACTTCAGCAAAAAAAAGTTATTTCTGTGGTTTTCCCACCTGATGATGATTGCTTGTGTTGCAATCGAAACGACGTAAAATCAATACGTGTGCACTCCTCGTATTGACGTGGAAAGGGAAAAAAAAATCGTTGAATGTTTCCGGCCCAATGCATTCCCCATCCAGACGAGGGTGCAACAACGGTCGACCCTTCCACGCCTGGCCATCCTGAGCGCGTTGGGTCAGTGGCGCGCCTCGTTCACCGGAAGGGGATGCGTCCCGGTACTCGGTGGCGACGACGAGTTAGGCAGCAAACTCAACGGAAGAGGATTGCCGTTTTAAAAATAAATAAATGCCATTCTCGTCGGGCAATCCCACGGTGTTAACGAATGCAGTCTCCATCTCTTATTATCCGCTCCTGTCTCTATCTCTGCTGGCCTCTCTGTTTTAAACGGCCATGAAGAAGGGCTATTGCCCGAAACGTCGCCGTTGATACAGGGACTCCTCTACTTACGAACGTTCGACTTACTATATTTCAGAGACGTGAACAAAGCTGGTCCGTATGTCCAGTTGCCTGTTCGGACCGAGAGTCGTAAGTTCAACTGCCGTGCAATAGATGGCGGTGGTGGCATCTACATCTGCAGAACAAGAAGAACCAGTGGCATCTACATCTGCAGAACATGAAGAACCAGTGGCATCTACATCTGCAGAACAAGAAGAACCAGTGGCATCTACATCTGCAGAACATGAAGAACCAGTGGCATCTACATCTACAGAACGTGAAGAACCAGTGGCATCTACATCTGCAGAACAAGAAGAACCAGTGGCATCTACATCTGCAGAACGTGAAGAACCAGTGGCATCTACAGAACGTGAAGAACCAGTGGCATCTACATCTGCAGAACGTGAAGAACCAGTGGCATCTACATCTGCAGAACAAGAAGAACCAGTGGCATCTACATCTGCAGAAAGTGAAGAACCAGTGGCATCTACATCTACAGTACAAGAAGAACCAGTGGCATCTACATCTGCAGAACGTGAAGAACCAGTGGCACCTACATCTGCAGAACATGAAGAACCAGTGGCATCTACATCTGCAGAACAAGAAGAACCAGTGGCACCTACATCTGCAGAACATGAAGAACCAGCGGTATCTACATCTGCAGAACGTGAAGAACCAGTCGCATCTGCAGAACATGAAGAACCAGTGGCATCTACATCTACAGGGGATTATGCAACTTCCAAAGCCACTCCCCGTGTTTAGTGTACACGCCGTACAACACGTTTAGAATCGACGGGAGTAAAGTTGGACTTACGAACAAATCGACTTACGAACAGACCTCTGGAACCTAACTCATTCGTATGTAGAGGAGTCTCTTTGTAGTTTATTTTCAAGGCCACACACTCACGCACGGTGTGTTGATGTTGACGAGTGGCAGATTGTTTTTACTTCTGTAGTCCAAGTCCCGAAAAGCAACTCAACCTTTTGGCACAGTGGTTCATGTCGGGTCAACTTCATTCGTGGTGTCTACAGGGTCACACTGACGGAGGCTTGGTTGGAAAGAGTGGATTATTAAATAGTTAAAGTTTAAAAAAACTCACGATGTGCATAGCAACAGAAAAAAACTAGTACAGTTCGTATTTGCATACATACGTAAATACAAGGGAAAACTTCCCTCCCTTCGTAAAGTCTGTGACAGCCTTTTGGGGCAAGTGTTGTTAGCGGCACACGAGGGGTGGGTGGTCAGCACCACCCCCAGCCGCCTTTGTCTTCCCAGTGCTGATGTTTAGACACCAGCAGGTAACTCTTTTGAGGCTGAGTCGACCTAGGGGAGGCCCCGGATTGGTTTATATATCCCGCCTGCCGGGTTCGTAGCGCGGAATGCAGCGCTAACCTCTGCGCCACCGCTCCCCACGTGCACGCGTTTGCACACCCACCCACGTGTACATCATACAAAGACAAAGATCCCCCGTATAGCCTAAGATAAAGGGGCAAATGCTGTTAGCGAGCACCTATGAAGGCCGGAACGGTACACGAGGGGGTGGGTGGCCAGCACCACGCCCGACCGCCTTTGTCTCCCTAGTGGCAATGTTTACACACCGCACCAGGTACTCATTTGAGGCTGAGTCGACCTAGGGGAGGCCCGGGACCGGTTCAGTTAATCGTCACTGGTGTTGGCCGTGAGCGGGAATCGAACCCGAATCGCCAGGTTCATAGCGCAGCGCGCTAACCGCTACACTATCGCTCCCCATCATACATACACACACGTGTACATCATACACACACACACGTGTACATCATACACACACACACGTGTACATCATACGCACACACATACACACACCCACGTGTACACCATACAGACACTGAACATCAGACACACAATGTACATCATACGCACAGACACTTTATCTCTCTCGCTGTCACACACACACAGAAACACACACACAGACACACACACTTTATCTCTATCGCTGTCACACACACAGACACACACACAGACACTTCATCTCTCTCGCTGTTACACACACACAGACACACACACACAGACACAGACACTTTATCTCTCTCGCTGTCACACACACAGACACACACACACAGACACACACACTTTATCTCTATCGCTGTCACACACACACAGACACACACAGTTTATCTCTCTCGCTGTCACACACACACAGACACTTTATCTCTCTCGCTGTCACACACACAGACACACACAGACACTTTATCTCTCTCGCTGTCACACACACACACAGACACACACACAGACAGTTTATCTCTCTCGCTGTCACACACACACAGACACACAGACACTTTATCTCTCTCGCTGTCACACACACACAGACACACACACACAGACACACACAGTTTATCTCTCTCGCTGTCACACACACACACAGACAGTTTATCTCTCTCGCTGTCACACACACAGACACACACACAGACACTTTATCTATCTCGCTGTCACACACACACAGACACACACACAGACAGTTTATCTCTCTCGCTGTCACACACACAGACAGTTTATCTCTCTCGCTGTCACACACACACAGACACACACACACTTTATCTCTCTCGCTGTCACACACACACAGACACACACACAGACAGTTTATCTCTCTCGCTGTCACACACACAGACAGTTTATCTCTCTCGCTGTCACACACACACAGACACACACACACTTTATCTCTCTCGCTGTCACACACACGCGCAATGGTAAATAAGTGACGTGACCCCGTACCGGGTCCTACCAGCACTGTCCGGTATCGAGTGGTGACGTGGGGCGTGTGGATCCGTGTCACACGCCAGTGTCTCGACACAAACACACAGCAGTGTCTCGACACAAACTCACAGCAGTGTCTCGACACAAACACACACCCCTACACACCCCTACACACCCACACACACCCCTACACACACCCCTACACACACCCCTACACACACACCCCTACACACCCCTACACACCCACACACACCCCTACACACACACACCCCCACACACACCCCTACCCACACACACCCCTACACACTCACACACACCCACACACACCCCTACCCACACCCCTACACACACACACCCCTACACACACACACCTCTACACACACCCCAACACACCCACACACACCCCTACCCACACCCCTACCCACACACACCCCTACACACACCCCTACACACCCACGCACACCCCTACACACCCACGCACACCCCTACACACAACCTCTCCACGTGTTCACCTCTCCACGTGTTCACCTCTCCACGTGTTCACCCCTCCACGAGATGAACCCCGGAGGAGCGGAGCAGGGGCCACCGCCTCCTTCGCTGAACCTGCAACCCCCCTCGGGTCCCCCCGACTCCCCGGGGTTCCTGGCGCCGGGCTCGCGAGTGGTGAGCATCACCCTGCTGCTCACCACGCTGCTCACCCTCACGCTCACCTTCGCCTTCTTCCAAAGGAGGAGGAGACGGAACCAGAGCCAGGCCCGGGACCGGGACCAAGATCAGAACCGGACGCGGGACCTGGCTCGAGAAGGAGATCAGGACAAGGCCACCTTGGAGCACAACAGAATCCCCGGGCAGGATCAGGAGCGGAATCAACACCGGGACCAGAACCGTGAAGGAGACCAGCAGCAGGCTACATCCGGGGACCCGGGATGCGAGTCGAACTTGGAGCAGGCGCGTCACCAGGTCGGACACCAGGCCGGGTGTCAGGAGCGTGCTCAGGAGCGGGGTCAGGACGAGGAGCAGGAGTGGGATTGGGACCCGGCATGTGACTGGGTCTTGCACCAGAACCAGGACAGGGACGGCCACGAGCAGGGCCCCGGGCAGGACACGGGTTGGGGCAGGAGGCAGGAGTGGGATTGGGGCCCGGGATGCGACTGGGACTGGGACCCCGCTGACGACTGGGGGCTGAGCCAGAACCACGGCATGGGGACTCGAACCCGGGGCATGCCGGGACCGGAGGGGTCGGTGAGACGGAGGGGTGGGGGAGGGGCGACGGTGGAGACAGCAGCAGCAGTGGAGACAGAGACAGCAGCACTGCTGGAGACAATGGAGACAATGTCAGAGACAGCAGCAGCAGTGGAGACAGAGACAGCAGCACTGCTGGAGACAATGGAGACAATGTCAGAGACAGTAGCAGCAGTGGAGACAATAGAGACAGTAGCAGCAGTGGAGACAATAGAGACAGTAGCAGCAGTGGAGACAATAGAGACAATGCCAGAGACAGCAGCACTGCTAGAGACAATGGAGACAATGCCAGAGACAGCAGCACTGCTAGAGACAATGGAGACAATGCCAGAGACAGCAGCAGCAGTGGAGACAATGGAGACAATGCCAGAGACAGCAGCAGCAGTGGAAACAATGCCAGAGACAGCAGCACTGCTGGAGACAGCTGCTGCTGCTGCGACCATTCAGGTGACAAACGCCGATGTCTCCGTGAAGGCGGAGTGGGGTCACGGCGAGGTGAAGGCGGTGCGGGCTCACGCTGAGGTGGAGGCGGTGCGGGGTCATGGCGAGGTGGAGGCGGTGCGGGCTCACGCTGAGGTGGAGGCGGTGCGGGGTCATGGCGAGGTGAAGGTGGTGCGGGGTCACGGCGAGGTGGAGGCGGTGCGGGCTCACGCTGAGGTGGAGGCGGTGCGGGGTCACGGCGAGGTGAAGGCGGTGCGGGGTCACGGCGAGGTGAAGGCGGAGCGGGGTCACGGCGAGTTGAAGGCGGTACGGGGTCACGGCGAGGTGGAGGTGGTGCGGGGTCATGGCGAGGTGAAGGCGGAGCGGGGTCACGGCGAGGTGGAGGCGGTACGGGCTCACGCTGAGGTGGAGGCGGTGCAGGGTCATGGCGAGGTGAAGGTGGTGCGGGGTCACGGCGAGGTGGAGGCGGTGGGGGGTCACGGCGAGGTGAAGGCGGAGCGGGGTCACGGCGAGGTGAAGGCGGTGCGGGGTCACGGCGAGGTGGAGGCGGTGCGGGGTCACGGCGAGGTGGAGGCGGAGCGGGGTCACGGCGAGGTGAAGGCGGAGCGGGGTCACGGCGAGGTGAAGGCGGTGCGGGGTCACGGCGAGGTGGAGGCGGTGCGGGGTCACGGCGAGGTGGAGGCGAATGCTCAACACAGAGCGACGGCGGACTATGGCGAGATGGATCATTGTCGTCGTCATCATCATCAACAGACAGAGGCCGGAAGGTCTCCAACCAACACATCTCCAATAACAAAGACTCCTCATCTGCCTCCTCAACACGATCATCATCATCACGCTGACCATGACGGCGATGCCGCGGCTGATGACGGCGGCGGCGGTGGTGATGCAGCTGCTGCTGGCACGACTCGCGAAGCAAGAGGCGACCCTCATCACCCTCATCATCGCGTTGCCGCTCCTGACGAGAATAACGACACGGTCCATGCATCATCATCGTCATCATCGTCGTCATCATCAGCTGTTGTTGCTGATGACGACGACGGTGACTCAGTCACCTCGTCCACGGTCCGGATCACGACTCCGTCGAGCCTTGCCACAACCATCAACCCCGGCGCTCCTGCTGCACATTCTCCCGCTGATGCAGGTGATGATGCTGCTGGTGATGTCGGCGATGGTGGTGACGACGATGACTCCATCGCCTCATCCACGGTCCGGATCGCGACTCCGTCAGGCCTTGTCACAACCATCAACCCCTGCGCTGCTGCTGCTGCTGCTGATCGTTCTCCCGCTGATGATGATGATGGCGGTGACGGTGACGACGACGACGACGCGGTGGCCCTGAGGGCCTGGCGTGCCGCGGGCCGCCCCGACGTTGTGCTGGAGGTGCGGGGCCTCCATCAACCGCTGGGGGCCCACGCGGCCGTGCTGGGCGCCGCCAGCGACTACTTCAGGGCGCGCGCGTCCAGGCGCGTGATCGCTCTCAGGGCCGTGCCGGGACTCGGCCCGGGCACGGCGAGTGCGCTCGTGCGGTGCGCCTACACGGGCCGCGTGCGTCCACAGGTGACTCGTTGATGAGGACAGTGGCGCTGGGAGCGGCAGTGCAGTTAGCGGCTCGCGATACGAACCCGGCCACCTTCATAGGCGCTGCTCGCTAACAGCACTTGCCCCAACAGTCTGTTAAGGCTACACGGGGGGTCTTTGTCTTTGTAGGCGCTGCTCGCTAACAGCACTTGCCCCAACAGTCTGTTAAGGCTACACGGGGGATCTTTGTCTTTGTAGGCGCTGCTCGCTAACAGCACTTGCCCCAACAGTCTGTTAAGGCTACACGAGGGGATCTTTGTCTTTGTAGGCGCTGCTCGCTAACAGCACTTGCCCCAACAGTCTGTTAAGGCTACACGGGGGATCTTTGTCTTTGTAGGTGCTGCTCGCTAACAGCACTTGCCCCAACAGTCTGTTAAGGCTACACGAGGGGATCTTTGTCTTTGTAGACCGTGCTCGCTAACAGCACTTGCCCCAACAGTCTGTTAAGGCTACACGGGGGATCTTTGTCTTTGTAGGCGCTGCTCGCTAACAGCACTTGCCCCAACAGTCTGTTAAGGCTACACGGGGGATCTTTGTCTTTGTAGGCGCTGCTTGCTAACAGCACTTGCCCCAACAGTCTATTAAGGCTACACGGGGGATCTTTGTCTTTGTAGGTGCTGCTCGCTAACAGCACTTGCCCCAACAGTCTGTTAAGGCTACACGGGGGATCTTTGTCTTTGTAGGTGCTGCTCGCTAACAGCACTTGCCCCAAGTCTGTTAAGGCTACACGGGGGGTCTTTGTCTTTGTAGACCGTGCTCGCTAACAGCACTTGCCCCAACAGTCTGTTAAGGCTACACGGGGGATCTTTGTCTTTGTAGGCGCTGCTCGCTAACAGCACGTGCCCCAACAGTCTGTTAAGGCTACACGGGGGGTCTTTGTCTTTGTAGGCGCTGCTCGCTAACAGCACTTGCCCCAACAGTCTGTTAAGGCTACACGGGGGGTCTTTGTCTTTGTAGGCGCTGCTCGCTAACAGCACTTGCCCCAACAGTCTGTTAAGGCTACACGGGGGATCTTTGTCTTTGTAGGCGCTGCTCGCTAACAGCACTTGCCCCAACAGTCTGTTGAGGCTACACGGGGGTGGGGGGGGCTTTGTCTTTGTGGGGAGCGGTGGCGCAGCAGCGACCCCCAATTCGATTCCCGCTCACGGCCAACAGCAGTGACGATTATCTGAACCGGCCCTGGGCCTCCCCTAGGTCGACTCAGCCTAACATTTGTACCTGCTGCGGTGCTTAAATATCGCAGCAAGGGAGACAAAGGCGGCCGGGCGTGGCGTTGGCCACCTCTCTCTTGTGCCGTGTCGGCCTTCATAGGTGCTCGCTAACCGCACTTTCCCTAACAATCTGTTAAGGCCATACGGGGGACATTTGTCTTTGGTGTTGTGAATTTGGTGATTGTGGTGGTAATTTTATTTGGATGGTGGTTGTGATGATGGTGGTGATGTTATGAATCTAGTAGCGAACGATGGTGGTCGTGATGTTGGTGGTGTGATTGTGGTGGTGATGCTATGACTGTGGTGGTGGTGGTGATGGTTTAATTGAAGAGCCATAATAACAACAATGACCAAGACGACGATCTGACCCTATCGGACCCCGTCACCCCCAACCCACCCCACAGGTCGGCCTCGCACCGGCCGACGTTCCGCCCTTCCTGCTGGACGTGATGACGGCCGCTCGCTCGCTGCAGATGCCCGGCGTGGAGCGAGCCGCCCTGGACGCCCTCGGCTCCCGGCTCAACCTGAGCAGCTGCACGCAGCTACTCGCCATCGCCAAGAAGCACTCGCTCTCCCAGCTCAAGGTGTCAGCTCCCCCCCACCCACCCACCTGAGCTCCCACCCACCTGAGCCCCCACCCACCTGAGCTCCCCCCCACCCACCCACCTGAGCCCCCCACCCACCTGAGCCCCCACCCACCTGAGCTCCCCCCCACCCACCTGAGCCCCCCCCCCCATACACCTGAGCTCCCCCACCCGACCCCCTACATCCACTTGACCCCCACCCCACCCACCAGACCCCCACCCCACCTACACGGCCCCCGCCCACCTGATCCCCCCCACCTACCTGAGCCCCCCCACCCACCTGAGCCCCCACCCATCCGACCCACCCCCCACCAGCCCGACCCCCCCCCCCCCCACCCACCTGACCCCTCCATGCGGGCGCCACGGTGGCTAGGAGATGTTGACTACCTCGCCTGATATACAGGAGTTCGTGGGTTCGACCCCGACCCTGACGATGCCTGCTGCTGCTGCTGTATATTTGAAGTTTGCGTCTCTCTCTCATCATCATCATCACCATAGTGCCTAGGAGATGTTGACTACCTCGCCTGGTATACAGGAGGTCGTGGGTTCGATCCCGACCCTAACGATGCCTGCTGCTGCTGCTGTATATTTGAAGTTTGCGTCTCTCTCTCATCATCATCACCACAGTGGCTAAGAGATGTTGACTACCTCGCCTGGTATACAGGAGGTCGTGGGTTCGACCCCGACCCTGACGATGCCTGCTGCTGCTGCTGTATATTTGAAGTTTGCGGCGTTTCTCTCTCTCCCCGTGGTGGACGCGTGGAGTTTTTCTCCGGCTCCTCCGGTTTTTTCCCTCCAGGTTCACTGAGAAACGACGTCTGCTGCTAAATATTTCCACGCCATTAGACATCGCACGTTAAGAGTATCTTATAGTATTTGACTGCTGCTTTAAATCTCCACACGACAATGATGATGAGCCACTTTGTTGAGCTGTTAATTATCATTCATGATGGGCAGCTCAGTAGCGGTGCCTTACCTGGTAAGATTAAAACAAAATGTTTAGTTTGAATAGGCAAAGGTTCAGCCCTGCAACACCGGACTCGCGGAAAGGGAACCCCACCGGTTTGTTCCAGGAGCTGTCCACTGCCAAGGCGCCTTGAGCCACGCCACGCCGAGTCGCGTGCGACGTCTTTGTAACGAGGTCACTCGGCGTCCCATTTAGTTACATTTAGTTACATTTATTTAGTATAGCCCTGTGAGCAATTCGGCTCTTGAATCGGGACGTGTACCCCCCCCCCCCCTTCCCACTCCCCAACTAGCGCTAACAGGAGACGGACGGATAAGCGACGGACTGACGGCTGACGAGTCAACGTTTCTCACGGACAAATGTGTCTCGCAAGGTGTTACACAAGGCGCGGCACGCAATGGGGACTCTCCTGGGTGAGGCGAAGGCGTTGAGTGTGTCGGCGTGCGCCAGGCTAATGGCCTCCCGTGTGGGTTGTAGGTCTCTAACTGCGCGCTAATTCATTTTCGCCTCCTTAATTAGCGTCCCGCGAGAGGACGCTGCCAGATGAACAACGCGACTGGAAACTGGGACCTTGGTTGGCCATTGGGTAGGAGGGGGGTGCACGCGCGCACGTGTGCGTGTTCGGTAGTGGGGAGTGGTGGTGCAGTGGTTAGCGCGCTGCGCTATGAACCTGGCGGCCCGGGTTCGATTCCCGCTCACGGCCAACACCGGTGACGATTATCTGAACCGGTCCCGGGCCTCCCCTAGGTCGACTCAGCCTCAAATAAGTACCTGGTGCGATGTGTAAACATCGCCACTAGGGAGACAAAGGCGGCCAAGGGCGTGGTGTTGTCCACCCACCCACTCGTGTGCCGTATGCGCTCGCTAACAGCACTTTCCCGTACAGCCTGTTAAGGTTATACGGGGGATCTTGTTGTGTTCGGTAGGGGGCACTGGTGGTGCATCAGCCAGTCATCTCAGTCAGTCGACCCATGGCACCTGGGTCTGTCCCGTGACCTGCCAACGGGCGTTCGACACGTCACGTGGCCCTAACGTAGCCTGGCACAAGCGTCGTGGTGACGTCACCGCCAATTAGTGGCGATTGGCGGCCGTTGTTCTGTGGTCGGTTGCTGGCGAATCGCATGGAGGGGGATATGGTTAAAAAACGTGACATTGAGGAATGTGAATAGAATGTAGGCAGGGAAACTTGGTGAGTGTAAATCATAGGAGGAGGCAATGATGGGTGGGACGCGTGGTGTGGAGGGTGGTGGAGGGCCGGTTGCCGAGGCAGACGTTGAAGCGGCACCCAGAGATTAGTGACGAGGAGGAAGACCTAAATCCACATTGCACGCCTGTCACGAGAGCACAGTGTTGCACAGATGGGTATAATCTGCCAGTAGCGGGGGGTGGGGGGGGGGCATAGGGGCAATGCTGCGATGTGGTTCTAACCCATGTAGCCATTCGTGGGTCATCTAAACGTTGGCGAACATCTAGACCGTGACTCCACGGAGAAGACAGAGTTGACCAGGGCGGCCACGGGGCTTAAACCACGAACATCCACAACAGGCGGCAATCGTGTTACCGCTTGGTGGTACTCTCCCTCCTCCTCCATGCCCTCTCTTCTATCCTCCATCCTCCTCCACCCCCCTCCCCTCTCCTCTATCCTCACTCCTCTTTCCTCTCTCCCTCTCTACCCTTCTCGCCCCCACTCCTCTATCCTCTCTTCCTCCTCTATCCTACCTCCTCGTCTACCCTCTCTCTCCATCCTCCCTCCTCCTATCCACCACAGCGCTATCCTCCCTCACTCCTCCTCTATACGACCTCCTCCTGCCTCTTCAAACCTTTCTCCATCCTTCTCTCGCCTAACCCCCCCCCCCCCCCCCAATCAGGAGCAGGTGTACAGCTTCATTAGCGAGCACTACCTGGAGGCGCTGCGCGAGCCGAGCCTGTACGGGCGCCTGTCGGCGTGCGAGCGCGACCTGGTGCTGTCTCGCCGCGCCGCCCAGGGCCGCCCCTCGCTCGTCGTGGCCCCGCTCGAGGCGGCCGCCGCGGCCACGGCGGCGGCCCGTGGGGGCAGCCGTGCCGGCAGCCGCGGGGGCAGTCGCCCGCAGAGCCCCGTGCCCAGCGATGCGTCCTCGGCGTCGGCGTCGCTGACGACGGCTGAGGATGGGGACGAGGATGAGGATGAGGAGGGGGAGGAGGGTGCGAGGTGGATGTACGCCTACAACGAGGTGAGGGGGTGACATGGCCGGTGTGCCGTCTGTCCATCCTTCCGTTCGTCCGTCTGTCGTCCGTCCGTATACCATGTGTACATCCATACCTATCGGACTTTTTTGCCAGAAAGGGTAAAACCTAGGATGATTTTTCATCATCATGCTTGACACTTTTGCCACAAGAATGTGTGGTTAATGCAGTCACTTGATGCCTTGCAAAGGGTATCTATTTGGTGTTTGAACATCTTGAAACCTGTTTTATTTCTAGAAAGGGTCAAACTTATTACATGAACATCCAGCCATCAGTCTGTGTCCATCCGTCCCTGTCCCATTGCGTATTCCTCCATCTTGGTCGTCTGGCTGTTTGTCCGCATCTCCACAGTCTGCAAGTCTGTATGCCCTCCATGTAACTGTCTTGCCTATCTACCTATTGGCATGCCTATGTCTGTCAATCTGTCTGCTTGTGTTTTGGCCAAACCCCATTTGGCAGAGCCTGGAGACTAAATCCTTACCCTCGGGGTTCCTCCAGAAACAGAAAAAAGCCACTGCGAGTGGACACGTGGAATGTCCGAACACTCACTGTGGAGGAGAAGCTGCCACTCCTCTGTCTGGAGCTGAACCGGTACCACCTGGATCTCTTTGGTATTGAGGAGTTCCGGTGGACTGGATCTGGCTCTGGTCACCATGAGGGGTGGACAGTCCTCTGCTCGGGGCTGGAGAATGCCAAACAACAGGGAGTGGCTCTTCTTCTGAACAAAAGAATGAAGGGTGCTTAGGAGCATGGTGGTGATGTGTGGGAAGCTGTAAGCCCCAGGCTACTGTGGGCTCACCTTCCCATCAACCAGAGGCGAGGAGTGGTGGTGTTGGTTACTTATGCTTCCACCGAAGATGAACATCAGTGCAGGGATGCAGGCAAGGCCAATGAGTCAGATGACTTCTTAGACCTCCTGTCACAGGTACTTGCTAAAGTGGCCCCTCGGGATAGAGTTACCCTGTTAGATGCCTTTAATGCCCGAGTGGAAGGCATGGACCAGATCAGCTCAATAACAATGGTAGGAAGCTGCTAGACTTTTGTGGAACCCATGGGCTTGTAATTACCAACATGCAGTTCCAGCATCGGCACATCCACATAACATCATGGATACATGCCGGGTCCAAGCAATAACATATGCTGGACTATATAGTGACAGAACAGCGGATGCCATGTACTTGATACCAGAACTTACCATGGAGCTAATCTGTCCACTGACCATCGGCTTGTGATCTGTAACATGCGCCTGCCAATCTTCCACTCCAATGGTGGGTGTACATCTAGGACCCCATTCAAACCCACAGTGGCCTTGGCTCAGCTAGCTGATGAAAGTTGCAAGCGAGAATTTCATCATCGCTTGCAGCTGGGGTTGGCATCGTCCCCCTCTCTTCCTGATGCCGAAGGGAAATGGGCGAGGTTAAGGACTGTGGCTCATGCAGCTGCAATGGCTGGTTTGGGCACACGGTCCAAACCTCACTCGAGACCCTGGGTGACAGATGAGGTGTTCAGGCTGGCTAAGAAAAAGTGGCATGCACACTCCCGCCGTCTACAGCATCCCATGCCTGAGAATAAGGACGTTTACCACAGCCTTTGCTCGGATGTTGGGAGAGCCGTGCGGCTCTGCAAAGATGGGTGGTGTTCACGGGTTGCTAAGGAAATGGAATCTGCCTCAGTGGCCCGCGATCATAAATCACTCTTTAATTCCATCAAAAACGTAACTTCCAGTGCCATACCTATCACCATCATTGGGGGAAAAAACGGTGATCCAATCTCCGACCCCCAGGAACAGGTTTACAGATTTGCTGGGCATTTCTGTGAGGTCTTGGGGGAGGTGATATCACTCAGCCTGGAACACATCATGGGGCAAAGTGGGTATGACCCTGCTGAGGCTGCCGTGCCTAAAATATTGGAAGAGTAGTCACCTCCTGTGAGTGGCTGGCTGAAGTACCATCTGTTGAGGAAGTACGGAAGGCAATCTAGAGTCTGAGACCAGGAAAAGTCGCCGGGCAGAGATGATCTTCCAAGTGAAATGCTGAGGGAGGTTGAAGTTTGTGTGCAGACTGCCCTATATGACATAATAACAGTCTGGACCACTCGACGGGTTCTGCAGGATTGGAAGGATTCCCTGGTGGTCCCCCTCTTTAAGAAGGGGGACCACCAGGGCATCACACAGACTGTAACAACTGCAGAGGGATCTCCCTCCTCAGTGTGGCAGGAAAGGTCTTGGCCAGGATTGTTTAACATCTCCTTGCCAGGCACGCTGAGGAGAGGCTTGCGGAGCCCCAGTGCGATTTCAGTCCAGGGCGGTCCTGCACAGATGCCATATTTTCTGTCTGCTACAGCAGAGGTGTAGGGAATTCCAACAATATCTACATCTCTGCTTGTTGATGATACAATCAACAGGGCTCTGGGCTGTTCTTCGTGCCTTTGGAGTCCCTGACTCTCTGCTCACGATCATTAAGGACCTTCATGATGGTGGGCAGGCCCCGGTAAAACTACGTAGCCGGGAGTTGGAGCCATTCCCTGTTCACCTTGGGGACCGACAGGGATGTCCTCTCGCTCCAACATTATTTGACATCTTTTTGATCACGTAGTTCGGGAAGCTTTCTATCACTGTACTGGAGGAATCTCCATTGGTGAGGCTATTGGTAAGTGGGGCCTTACCAACAGCCCCACCAAAACTAAGCACCTGCCTGGGTATTTTGTACTATCAAACACTCCACCAACCGAACTCCCCATTTGTGATGGGGCAGTTGTGGAGAGAGTGGAGAGCTTCCCATACCTGGGCAGTGTGCTCATGACCGGCCCTGGTTTGACAGCAGAGGTCTCACTCCGAATCAGTAGAGCGGCATTATCTTTTCATCGGTTGTGTAACGCTGTATGGAAGCTACCTGGTCTGTCACTCCGCACGAAGCTTCAGGTCTTCTCGGTCATTCCCTCCCTTCTCTACGCTTGCGAAACATGGACCCCCTTAATGGAACATCTTCGTCGGTTAGAAACATTTAGGCTGGCCTGCCTTCGATCCATCTTGGGTTTAACCAGGCTGGATTGTGTGAGGAGCTCACATATCCTTGATAGATCTAGACTAAGTACAATCGGTGAGCTCCTCCGGCAGGCAAGGCTGCATTGACTGGGTCATGTAGCCCGCATGCCCAGCCACCGCATGCCTAAACAGCTTTTGTTCGGCCAGATTGAGGGGGCTAAACGGCCGCGGCACGGGCTAGAGAAGAGATGGAGTGATGTGGTACAGGAGGATGTGGAGCTGAGTGGACTTGCCGATGACTGGGACTAGCGGTGTCAAGATCAGACTCTGTGGAGGAGGCTCGTGAAGGACGCTACTGGGCAGTTTGAGGCAGTTGCCTTCCAGCAACAGAGGACAGAGGAGCGTCGCTCACAACAACGAGCGGAGCGCTGGGCGGCTAAAACACAGCAAGTTGGCACAGTAGGGGGCACAGGTGGTGCATCGGGCCAGTCATCTCAGTTGACCCATGGCTCCTGAGTCTGCCCCGTGACCTTCCAGCGGGCATTCCACACTTCACACGACCTTAAAGTGCACTTAGCCTGGCACAAGCGCCATGGTGATGTCACCTCCACTTAGTGGCGAATGGCGGTTGTTGTGTTTTACCTGTCTGTCTGCCTTCCAGTCAAGTCTGCCTGCCTCTCCACGTAACTGTGTGCCTCTCCGTAAATCTGCCTGTTTGTTTGCCTGCCTCTCGGTCTATCAACCTTGTATACTTCTCCATGCGTCTGTCAATAGTTTCGTCAATGTGCCCGCCTGCCCATGTCTGCCTGGCTGGCCGCGTGCCTGTTTGTCCATGTTCCACACCAAACACAATCCCTCATGCCCTTCCCGTCCCGCCAGGAGGAGGCAGCATGGGTGCCGCTGTCTCCACTGCCGCGCCACGTGAACCTGAGCGGCTGCGCTCTCTGCGTTTTCTACAACTACCTCATCGTGGCCGGCGGGGTCACCCGGCCCGGCAAGGGTGCCAACGCCGCCACCCCCACGCAGCCGAACACCGCCGCCGCCAACGCCACTGGCACAGGGGGCGCGCAGCGGGGCTCCGTCGCCACCGCCGCCGCCGTGCCCCGCACGAGCGACGCGGGCCACGGCACCGGCAGGCACCACCGCACCAGCAGCAGCAACTCCACCGCCAGCGACAACTCAACCGGCAAAAACAACGACAGCAGCAACAGCAGCGCCGGTCCACCGGCGCAGCCCTCCACCGCCCGCAGCACCACCGGCAATGCCGCCGCCGCCGCCGGAACTCCATCGGCGCAGGTGTGGAGCTACAACCCGAGCACCGGCGTGTGGGCGCCGCTGCCCCCGATGCAGCAGGCGCGGGCGCAGCTGCGGCTGGTGGCGTGCGACGGCGCCCTGTTTGCCGTGGGCGGCGAGTGCCTGCTGAGCGTCGAGCGCTACGACCCGCGGGCGGGCCGCTGGCGCCCGGTTGCGCCGCTGCCGCGCGGCCGCTTCGCGGTGGCGCATGAGGCGGCCGAAAGCGGCGGTGAGCTGTACGTGTCGGGCGGCTCGCTCTTCCGCCGCCTGCTGCGCTACTCGCCGCGGCACGACGCCTGGAGCGAGTGCCCAACGGCGCCCGGCAGGCGCCGCTCCGCCGACATGGTCAGCGTGGGGAGGTGGCTGCTGCGGTTTGAGAGCGAAAGGGCGGCCGCCGGTTCCGCCGCCAGTGACGCGTCTGGTGGCGGAAGCGTTGCGTGCGGCGCTGCTGCGGCTGCTCGTGCTGGTGTTGCTGCCGGCGTTACGGCCGACAACAGCGGCAGCGGCGAAGCGGCGCAGGTTGTCACCGTCCAGCGCTACAACACGCACGCCAAGACGTGGTCCACGTTTGGGACACTGGGCGACCCGCGCGCTATCCTGCACGCCGGTTCCGGATTTGCCGGCGAGACGGCGTCACCGGCGGAGGCGCCGGAGCCCGGCGAGCGGCCGACGCGGTCGCTGGTGCCGCCGTTCCGTTGCGCCGCGCTGGATGAGGAGGTGTTCTGCGTGAGCCGCTCCTGTGCCATGCGATTCGACGCCGGCGACGAGGGCCACCTGAAAGCGGTGCCGACGTGGGGGGGCAGCAGCGCCGGCGGAGCGAGAGACAGGGCGGCCGCAGCGGCGCAGCCGGACCCGGCGCTCGCCGCCACCTTCGCCGTGCGGGCCCTGGGGCCGGTGCCGTGCGGACGAGGCCTGCCCGTGCCGTTCATCTTGTGCTTGCCCGAGCACATCTTCGGCGGCGGTGGCGCCGGCAGTGGCCATCGGGAGACGTAGGGAGCAGTGCCGCGCTGGCAACCGTCGCTCCGTTTGCTCTGGGCGACGCTCCTCCTCCTCCTTCTCCGCCTTTCCGGTCATCGTTGTCGTGACCGCAATGTCGGCTGCCGTCACCCACCGGGTGGTGTCCTTCACGAGCCGAGTTGGCGCAGAGAGGCCGCGACTCATTACAGCTGACAGGAGCGGCTGGGCGCGAGTCCGCTCGAACCAACGTACCACACCACCACCACCATCCCATCTCTTCTCCAGCCTGTGCCGTGGCCTACCCGTGCTGTGCCCATTTAACCCCCCCCCACCCCACCACTCTGTGGACAAAGCAAAGCTGCTTGGCCACGGAAGGAAGGCCGGCCTTGCGGGTCACGTGACCCAGCCACACCAGGCCCGGTAAATCCGTTGCCTTCTGTGCTCGTCTACAAAAACGGCTCTGAAACATCAACACGTGCCAGTGTTCAACTTAGACCCGTGCGGGTCACTGCCACGGCACGTTTGATCCCGCAGCTTTCGCTGGGGGTTTGGCATGTGACCTCCAAGAGCGGCCTCTAGCTTCTGGCTCAAGGTATTCCCATTGGTCGCTGACCTCTGGGTGCCACTCCCAAACACCTGGCATCGTCAGCTGACCTCCTCCGCCCTGCACACGTGCCCCACCTATCCAGAGACTGCTCCTTACATTTTGCTGATTACACATACTGCACACTCTGTTCTCCCGTAACGCGTTATAGTTTTCATAATGCCAAGTGGATAGAACGCAATGAATGTATGAGGGAACACACTCTGTGTTTAAATAATGACGATGCGAATTGGATGTAACGCGATTGAGCGAACGGAACTACGTCACACGAGTAGGAACGAGCGGTCGTACGGCTGCCTCGGCGTAGGATCATCATCGCACAAGGCGGGATGCTGCTGGATGCTTCTAGATGCAACCCTGCACTCGGTTTTTGTTTGGCCTGCATACGCATCTCACGTGTTGTCGCGGACTGCGCTGTAGCATATATTATCATTCATTACAATGTGATTTTTCTTCAGGAACACAACTACTATCACCATGTTGCAGGTGAACAGACTCTGCATTACGCTTTCCTGCCACGTCATATGCAACACTTCCAAGTTGTTCAACCCCTTATCCTCCGTCCTCCGTGCATGCCCTCCCCATCCCAAACCTCCTCCTTCTCATAATAGTTTTTTTTTGGGTTAGATCACATAAATATAAATGTGTCGTTAAATCCACCACCGGAACAGCAACACACGCTTATACACAGCAACAACACAAGCTGATACACAACAACACACAAGCTGATACACAACAACACACAAGCTGATACACAACAACGACCACACAAAAGTGTTTGCTCGTATTGGATCGCTTTTTTCATGAGAGTTATCGTGCCACGCGGCACCGCTGTCAGACGAGATGATGGGCAAAGCCTTTTTTTTACCATTCGTCCATGAAAGCGTTCAAAATAAGAGTAATGATGATAAAAGAGGAAAGGGGCGAAGGCATTTGGCCTGGTGGAATGTAGGCGATGTTTGTAATGGGGCATTAGAGAGGTCCGGGGTTTTTTGAAAACAAAAAATACTTTTGCCTTTACGAATAGAATGTCGCCTTGAGCGCCAAATTGATGCTGATGCAGTGCCGCTGCTGCCGCTGCTGCTCGCTCAACGTCTGTGTAAACCATACTTGACCACACCTCGTTGGGCACAACACAATCCTCCCATCACCACCACCGCCTCCACCGCCTCCACCCCCCACCACCTCTACCCCTCCAAGGCCCCTTGTCAACCGAGGCTTCTTTCTGCTTGGCTGAAGATTTTGTTTGATCAAAGGGCCCCTTTTTGGTCGGCCAAAAACTGCCCTCTGCATGGCTTACAGCAGCAGTGTTCTTCATTGCAAGGGCCCCCGCGGGGCCACTGGCGGCCCCTGATGGCCTTTTAATGTGGCCCTTGACGGTGCATCATCAAGAGGGCCGGTGGCTCGTGGCTGGCTACCAGTGGAGTGGCCCTGCAATGTTGCCATCTCATGTCATTGCTGGTGGAATGTAGGCCTCGACTAGAGGGAGCCCCAAGAGCGAGAAGGCGCTTGGCCTACTCTTTCACGCCTTGCAAGGCCCCGGTGGGGCTCACGGGCGGCCCTCCAGTGGCCTTTGAGTGTGGCTCATGATGGTGCGGCCCCCTCAAAAATACACAAATAGTGAAAACACCCCCCCCCCTTCCCCCATCATCAACATGCTTCTTCTTTCGTATGGATTAATAGCACCAGATTAAAGACGTCATTTTAGATGTTATCGAGACAGCAGCAGCGGCGGCGGCGGCGGGAAAGTGTTCACGATGCGGGTCGATGGTTTGGGATTGATGGCCGCATCACTTGCAGGCCGCCGAATCTTTCATGGCGCTGTTTATGGCATCAGGTGGCCGCATCAGCCACATGGCCCGGTCCTGATTCAGCTGATGATCGAGCATTGTCAAACCCCAATGGTCTTTTAAATATGTGGTGGCGACCCTCACACTGATAATGTCTTATCAGCGAAAGTACCCCCCATAAGCCAGTAAAGAATCTTGGCCTACAGCTTTCTCCCATCACCAAAACGGCCTCTGCTTAATCCCATCGTTTGAAATTTGCATCGCTTCGGCCCCAATGCACTGGCACACGATCCTCAACTAGGCCTAAATCCTGAGGCGCATGCAGTTGTGAGGCCTTCTATTTGGCCTAAGAGAAACGCTAAGGCCTGGTACACGTGAATACAAACTGCTGCGGTATTTCACTGATTGGCAACTGGTATCACCTGGGCCTGAAGTGCCCAAGGCTTACACCTGAATAATCTTCAATCTCGATATATTTGTTTACTTGGCCTACAGATTTCAGGGCAGAGATAGAAGGCTCTCTTGCACGGCCCACATTGTCCCAGCTTACCCCAAACGAGTCTTCTCGATATATGAAGGTCATGGGATTGGCAAGAAGGGCACATTCTTTCCTAAAAGGTGTTTGTTAGGCCTAAATAACCGGCATCTCATTCTGAATCTCTCCTCCTCGGCCTAGCGATAGCAAACACATTGCATGGGCCTACATTTGCTTTTTTTTCCCGGCTTGGCCTAAGAGCTCGTCTGCTTGATTCAAGGGTTATCATTCCAGCCCTGGTGGCCATTTGCATGGCCCCAGAAGTCTTGTGCCAGGCTTAAAGTGCACTACACGTGGCCCCACGGGCCCAACTTGCTCATCCTCAGAAGCCGAGCTTTTGCCTTGAGGCCCTCCTGACGGACTTGCAACGTCTCCTCCACACTCTTTGCTCTCTGCACATAGCAGGCCATTCTGCTCGGAGCTGTTTATTAGAAGACGAGGGGGGAGCTCGCTAAAGAGTGCTATATCGTTTGCAAAGCCATGAAATGCTATTTTTTTGTACAGAGTTGTTTTGAAACGCGTAGACACTAAACAGAAAGCTATTTTGAGATTGTGCGGTATGGTTCGGGCGCGCGCGGCTAGATTTGTACTGAGAAGCCAAGAATGCGATGAACAGAGTGCACTTTGAGCGGCCGCGTAGACTCCAACTTTACTCCTGTCGATTCCAAACATGTTGTACGGTGTGCACCCTAAACACGGGGAATGGCTTCAAAAGTTGTAACATCTCCTGTAGATGTAGATGCCACTGGTTCTTCATGTTCTGCAGATGTAGATGCCACCGGTTCTTCACGTGGCATCTACATGACATATGGACAGGTTTGTTCGTATCTCTGAAAGTTTATAATTCGAACGATCATAAGTAGAGGAGTCCTTGTATAAACAAACCTGTGGCGGGCCGTACGGTAGTGGGAGCAGCCTCGGTTTCACTCAGGGGGTGTCCGCTCTCCAGCGATCATTTGCACGCAACTGCATCGCGACTGGTTGCATGCAACTGCATTGCGACCGGTTGCACGCAACTTAATCGCGATTGATTGCACGCAACTGCAAAGCGACCATTTACATGCAACTGCATCGCGATCGGTTGCATGCGACTGCATCGCGACTGGTTGCACGCACACGCGAATGCATCACAACCAGTTTCACGCAGCGGCATTGCTGTTGTAGACGTCGCTGCAACTGGTTGCTTAAAATGCGGACAGGCTTTATTTACTTTTCCAGTGACGATTTCCACAGCCATTTGATTTCTCTGGTGCTTGAATCATAATTTCAACTCTCGAAGAGAGAGAGAGAGAGGTGGACCGACTCGGAGGCACGAGGAGGCCACACAGACGAGTGGGGAAAGAGGCAGCGGGCGCCAGTGGCACTTTGCAGATGTGTCGTAATGCAAACGCATCATAATGCGTTGACGATGCTGAATGAATGACCCCTTGAATGACCGATCCCTCGCACGGCGACGTTTAGTGCCAGGCGATTCGGGACGGACCATGCGTCTCGAAATCCTAAAACTCTGATCGCACTGAAGCCCCCATCGCGCACAATGGGGAATTGACGATTCCCATCAACCGCAATTCCACGCGCGCCCTGACCCCATTAATAATCGCAGTTGTGTGAACTCTGCAAACCTCGTGAAACGGGAAATGATTCATAATAGCGTGTATTCGAGTTTCATAAAGTCAGAATCTCATACAGAAATCAGTTTCTGGATTCCAACATTCCAACACCGCTGTGGTCCTGCTATAAATAAAAAAAAAAGCAGCGATATATTTCGATTTTTGGAAACCAAACAAAATCAATAATCAAAGACTCGTGATTACAAAATCCTGGGATTACGTTGCAGTAGAACCTCTCTTAACGACCACCCCTGCCAGCGACGAATCGCTTAACAATGGGCCTCCATAGAGCCCAATGTGTTCGCTTACCGACCCCTGTTGTAGGTACAATAAATATGAATTAACCGCGTTTATTTTAATGTTACGTGTTAATATCCATTGTTTAAATATTATGAAGTACGTTTTTTGGGCAAATGGGTGGGTAATTCGATGCTATCGGAACCAATTAAGCCTTTAACGTGCATTGCCTGTAGTCGCTTAACTGCCAAATTCGCTCAACGGCCGGTTTCATGGAACCAATTCCCGTCGTTGAGAGAGAGGAGGAGGGCTTCTACTGTCGATCAATCCAAGAGCCGTTGACGATGACCAATTCTGGTTTGGAATTGCAATTCCCGAGTGCGATCCTGAACTTTGCACTTTGCTTCTCAGCGCATCACCGGTTGGACTCACCACTGGGAGAGCCCCCCACGTCCAGCGCTCGGCCGACTGTCAGACTGACAGGTCGGAGATTCGGCAGAGCGCGAATGATTTTTGCCACTGCGTGTCGGAGACTTGGTATCTGCGTGTTGGAGATTTGGCACTGTGTTAAAGATTTGGTACCACGTCTTGATATTTGGCACTGCGTCTTGATATTTGGCACTGCGTCTTGAGATTTGGCAACGTGTCTTGAGATTTGAAACCAAGTCTTCATATTTGGCATCGGGTTTTGAGGATTTGGCATGACGTCTTGATATTTGGTACCGCGTGTTGGAGATTTGGCACCGGGTCTTGATATTTGGTACCGCGTGTTGGAGATTTGGCACCGGGTCTTGATATTTGGTACCGCGTCTTGAGATTTGGCAACGTGTCTTGAGATTTGAAACCAAGTCTTCATATTTGGCACCGCATCTTGAGATTTGGCACTGCGTGTTGGAGATTCGGCACCGCATCTTGAAATGTGGCACCACATCTTGAGATTTGGCACTGTGTGTTAGAGATTTGGCACTACGTCTTGAGATTTGGCACTGCGTGTTGGAGATTCGGCGCCACATCTTGAAATGTGGCACCACACCCAGAGATTTGGCACCGGGTGTTGGAGACTTTGCACCACATCTTGAGATTCGTCACCGTGTCTTGAGATTTGGCACACCGCGTCTTCACTGAGCGACGAGATGGGGACGAGATGTGTGCAAAAGTGTCGAGACCTCGCACGGGACGTCGACATCACGGTGGGGGGGGGGGGGGGGGGACGTCCCTTTCCCTGGCCGAGGTTTCGGTAGCACCTCCAACAACCTCCGGAGTGAAACCCGGACGAGAGCAACCGAGCCCACCTTGAATTAGAAAACACGGCCCTTGTTGCCAGGTGGGACATATTCCCCTCTAGTGCGGCTAGGATGTTGGTGGTGAGGGATAAATGATGGTTTGCCAGCTGTGAGCGAAGTGGTTAGGCCTCGTGCGGTGGTGGGGTGTGTAAAGTGACGTCACAGGCTGTGTGAAGTCACGCGCTGTGTGAAGTAAAGTCACGGGCTGTGTGAAGTGACGTCACGGGTCGTGTGAAGTGAAGTCACAGGCTGTGTGAAGTAAAATCACGGGCTGTCTAAAGTCACAGGCTGTGTGAAGTGAAGTCACGTGCTGTGTGAAGTCACGTGACGTGTGAAGTGAAGTCACGTGCTGTGTGAAGTGAAGTCACAGGCTGTGTGAAGTGAAGTCACAGCCTGTGTGAAGTGACGTCACGGGTCGTGTGAAGTAAAGTCACAGGCTGTGTGAAGTCACGGGCTGTGTGAAGTGACGTCACAGGCTGTGTGAAATGAAGTCACGGGCTGTGTGAAGTGACGTCACGTGCTGTGTGAAGTGAAGTCACGAGATGTGTGAAGTGAAGTCACGGGCTAATGTAGTGACGTCACGGGCTGTGTGATGTGCCGTCACCGGCTATGTAGTGACGTCACGGGCTGTGTGAAGTGAAGTCATGGGCTGTGTGAAGTGAAGTCACGGGCTGTGTAGTGACCTCACGGGCTGTGTGAAGTGACGTCACGGGCTGTGTAGTGACGTCACGGGCTGTGTGAAGTGAAGTCACGGGCTGTGTAGTGACGTCACGGGCTGTGTGAAGTGAAGTAACGGGCTGTGTGAAGTGAAGTCACGGGCTGTGTGAAGTGAAGTCACGTGCTGTGTGAAGTGACGTCACGGGCTGTGTGAAGTGACGTCACAGGCTGTGTGAAGTGACGTCACAGGCTGTGTGAAGTGAAGTCACGTGACGTGTGAAGTGAAGTCACGTGGCGTGTGAAGTGAAGTCACGTGCTGTGTGAAGTGAAGTCACGTGACGTGAATTGAAGTCACGTGCTGTGTGAAGTGAAGTCACGTGCTGTGTGAAGTGAAGTCACGTGCTGTGTGAAGTGAAGTCACGTGACGTGAAGTCACGTGCTGTGTGAAGTGAAGTCACGTACTGTGTGAAGTGAAGTCACAGGCTGTGTGTAGTGACGTCACGGGCTGTGTGAAGTGAAGTCACGGGTTGTGTGAAGTGATGTCACGGGCTGTGTAGTGACGTCACGGGCTGTGTGAAGTCACAGGCTGTGTTAAGTGACGTCACAGGCTGTGTGAAGTGACGTCACGGGCTGTGTGAAGTGAAGTCACGGGCTGTGTGAAGTCACAGGCTGTGTGAAGTGACGTCACGGGCTGTGTGAAGTGAAGTCACGTGCTGTGTGAAGTGAAGTCACGTGCTGTGTGAAGTGAAGTCACAGGCTGTGCAGTGACGTCACACGCTGTGTGATGTGACGTCACCGGCTATGTAGTGATGTCACGGGCTGTGTGAAGTGAAGTCACGTGACGTGTGAAGTGAAGTCACGTGACGTGTGAAGTCACGGGCTGTGTGAAGTAAAGTCACGTGCTGTGTGAAGTGAAGTCACGTGCTGTGTGAAGTAAAGTCACGTGCTGTGTGAAGTGAAGTCACGTGCTGTGTGAAGTGAAGTCACGTGCTGTGTGAAGTGAAGTCACGGGCTGTGTGAAGTGAAGTCACAGGCTGTGTGAAGTCACAAGCTGTGTGAAGTGACGTCACGGGCTGTGTGAAGTCACGGGCTGTGTGAAGTGACGTCACGGGCTGTGTGAAGTCACGGGCTGTGTGAAGTGAAGTCACGGGCTGTGTGAAGTGAAGTCAAGGGCTGTGTAGTGACGTCACGGGCTGTGTGAAGTGACGTCACGGGCTGTGTAGTGACGTCACGGGCTGTGTGAAGTGAAGTCACGTGCTGTGTAGTGACGTCACGGGCTGTGTGAAGTGACGTCACGGGCTGTGTGAAGTGAAGTCACGGGCTGTGTAGTGACGTCACGGGCTGTGTGAAGTGAAGTCACAGGCTGTGTGAAGTGAAGTCACGTGCTGTGTGAAGTCACGTGACGGGTGAAGTGAAGTCACGTGCTGTGTGAAGTGAAGTCACGTGGTGTGTGAAGTGAAGTCACGTGCTGTGTGAAGTGAAGTCACGTGACGTGTGAAGTGAAGTCACGTGCTGTGTGAAGTGAAGTCACGAGCTGTGTGTAGTGACGTACCGGGCTGTGTAGTGACGTCAAGGGTCGTGTCTGGCCCCAGGGCCATAGGGTTCCTCACCCCTGGTCTAGATCCTCCGGTGTGTGTACAGACAACACGACTGTCACCTACCCTTAGCCCTGAAGTCTACGATCCACGAGAGCAACTCTAGGGCAATTGTTCCCAGCAACCGTCGGCAGCAACGCATGAGCCACGAGCGAATCTGGCAGCTTTGTGGACAACGGATTGGAGTGAGAGCCATTCCTTTATAGTCACTTCATCACTCACCCTTTCACTCACATGGTCATTCACTCGATCAGTCAATTGTGAGTACATTTGGAGTTTGCGGTGTCCCTCTTCCCGTGGTGGCGTGGATTTTTCTCCAGGCCGTCCGGGTTTTCCCCTCCACATTTAGGAATCAACATACTCTTTGGGTCTCTCGGTAAAGTCACGTAGTCACGAAAGCTTTAAGTCATTTAGAATCAACGGTCAAGCGTTTTAGAGCAAATTTACGTGCTATAAATGTCCACATGGACGAGCTATCATTTGTGATGGCTAGGTCACTTCTGAAAAAAAGAGCCATACACAGCTCAGTGGGCCTCCGGGGCCGTCCATAAATGACGTCACGCACCTAGGGGGGGGGGGTCAGACATTTGTGACGATGTGTGACAAGGAGGGGGGGGGTTGAGAAATGTGACGTCACATCAAAATTCGCAACTTTAAATAAATATAAACAACTAGACTACACGTTCTACTTAATTAAATAGACTTTTTAATAAATGTTTTCTCCTACAACATCAGAGTGCAGCGGCACATTAAGTACGCACTACAATGACAATAGTTTAAAGCGATTTGAAGCATGTTTCATTTTATTTTGGGGGGTGGGGGGGGGCAGAGCTTTGTGACGTCATATTTGAGGGGGGGGTCTGACTTTTTGTGACGTCGTGTGACGAAGGAGGGGGGGGGTGTCAAAAATCGTCCAAAATCACGTGACGTCATTTATGGACGGCCCCTTACCTGGTAAAAATAAGTTTGAAATAGCACAAGCTTTGATTTCCGTGAAAAGAGATGAATCTCTGCTACGCACCGACTTTTAGCCATTTCTCAAATGACGGACACAGCTTGGACATCAGACGGCGACGTGCGATCTCATTGGACGTCACCGTCCCAAGTTGGCCGCTCGGGGCAGCTGTGGATCAGATTCAGTCAGATTCTGGGTCACCAGATGTTGACCAGTTGCCGGATCGTGGCTCTAAGCCGTCTGCGTCTGAGCGAGCCGGGCAGCGGTAGTGTCGGCGCTTGGCGTGCCGAGCCACCAATCCGGCTGGAACCCCGAGTTACATTCCCGCTCACGGCCATCAGCACCAGTGACGATTATCTGAAACCGGTCCTGGGCCTCCGCTAGGTTGACTCGGACTCAAATGAGTACGCTGGGTGCGGTTTGTAAAACTTTGCCCCTGGGGGGAGGCCATAAGCCACGTGGGGTGCTGACCACTCCCCCCCCCCCCCCTAGGGTTGCTATTCGCTAACAGCACTTGCTCACACCAGTCTGTTACAGGCTGTACGGGGGGCGGGGGGGGGGGGATCTTCGTGTTTAATTTTCACGACTTTGCACGGCGTGCCATTTCCTCTCCGGCTGCACGGATGATGACGACGTCACTCGCTCTGCGTGCGTGACGTCGGCGGCACGGCACGGTTCCCGGCAAGTGGAAAAAACACATCTGGGCTGGCTTGGCTTAGCATGGACCCCGGCGCAGAACGGTTTGCACGGAGCGACGCTGTTTGTGTCTCAGTGGGGTCCTGCCGACTCGCCGCCGCTTTCATCAAATAAAAACCCACTTCACTAAGCCAGGGGGGTGGTTCTTTTTTATATTTATTTTTTTAAAATCATCATCAGCATCGTCATCATGAATTGTCATCATTGCAGCGATTATTCCCGAACGGGGGAATTTTTTTTATTTTTTATTCGCAGTCACTTGCAAAATGTACCCAGAGACAAAGAAATCGTACACAACACACGTACGTGCGCCCACGTACGTGTGCGCGATCGAGTTAAAGAACAATTAAAGATATCTCGAAGCCGGACTCGCGAGGGACAGAGCCCCCTTCTGGTTCGTGTCCGGCAAACACTGCAAAAAAAACAGTGCCGAGAAAAAGTTTGTGAACGCCAAAGGTAATTCATAATATAGCTTTTGTTTTAGGTTAGATCGCGTAAATATATAAATGTTGTGTCGTTAAACCCCGCCACCACCCTACACAGCCAACTAGTAAGGGGTTTGTCACGTAAACAGAACGTGGCCAATTCGTCACTGGTACAGCACACCGGTGTGTTGGAGAGCCAAGCCACAACATTTACAATCTGAGTACGACGTTTCGCCAGTAATTACAACCAGCTTCATCAGGCGATAGCCAGATTTGTGGAGAAGTCTTTCTGTTCCGTTCCTTATATAGAGGCGTAGATGTGGTGACCACGCTTCTGCGCTCTTGCGTCACGGGGGGGGGGTATTACTGAGTCAACGTACATGATGCATGTACATTACGCGAGCCCTTTGAACTTGTCCTTCCTGTCTATTGTGTATTAAAATAGCCCTACCAACGGCAATCCCTATTGAAGAACGCTGCCCTTTGTAGGCATGCATTTAAACAATGTATAATATGATGATTCGCTTCCACGCAGCACTAAGGCGGTAGCTATCTGAACGGTTAAAGTTATTTTTATTTATTTCAATTTCGATAGATTCTCTAATTTAGTCTTGGTCAGTAGTAGATAGTTTTGCACAGAACTTCAACATTATCAAAATCAATTGAGTGTCCTTGTTGGCACGCGTGTTGTGCTGCTGCTGACAGTTGCATTTGGGAGAATTTAATATTTCTCTGATGTTATTTTAGTCTCGTGCTTTAGTCCCATTTGTCACGTTTGCCCAGCATATAATTTACCACACTTCCAGTTAATCCTGTACACACCTTCTGTTGATAGATATAAAATTATCTATTTTATGTACCGTGCTTAATCTTACTCAGATGTTTTGTTTTTCCAAACATCTGGCTAGTTTATCAGTTACTCCCACAATGCATGGTATTTTGACCATTTTTATTTTGACAATTCGTTACGAGTACAGCACACCGGTGCGTTGGAGAGCAAATTAGCTTCCTGCCGAAACGTCGTACTCGGATTGTAAATGTTGTGGATTTGCTCTCCAACACACAACCGTTCAGTGCTGTACTCGTGACCAATTGGCATGTTCTGTTTACATGACAAACATCACTAATTAGCTGCAGGGTGGTGGAGGGTTTAACGGCACATTTATATATTTACGCGATCTAACCCAAAAAAACCCTGTATTGTAGTTATTGGTCGCGAAAGCCTACGTGTTAAACCCAATGATAATTATGGAAATTCCATAGTTTTACCACGAGAGCCTTCTTGAATAAAAACCGGCCTTTTCTTAAAAATCCAACAGGGTTTATATTAGTCAATTCCATGTAGGAATTAAACAATGAGTAATTAAGGTTCAGGGTATGTGAAAAAGTCAATGAATCCCTGGTTTCGTTAGCTCAATTAAGGGAATAATTAGAATCAGGTGTTTCAATAATTAGGTAGATCTTTAAAGGTGAGTTTGGAAGGCCCCACCCTATATAAAGATCAGAACATTTGTGAGTTGGGTCTTCACCACATAGGTGTGTGGAAACAAGTCACGCCACGATCAAAATAAATCTGAGGGCCTCAGAAAAAGAGTTACTGATGCTCATCAGTCCGGAAAGGGTTATAAACCCATGTTTAATGATTTGGGGCTCCACCAATCCACTGTCAGACAGATAGTCTACGAGTGGAGAAAGTTCGAGACCACAGCCACTCGACCCAGGAGCGGTCGTCCTTCAAAAATCTCGACAAGAACAAACCGGAAAATCGTCAAGAAAGTCACGAAGAATCCCAGAGGAATATCCAAGGATCCGCAGGCCACTCTCGCCTTGGCTAATGTGAGTGTTCATAACTCAACCATCAGAAGAAATTTGTTCATGGAAGGATAGCCAGGAGAAAACCCACTGCTTTCCAAAAAGAACATTCCCCAAAAATCACACCGATGACCCACAAGACTTCTGGAGCAATGTTCTCTGTCAAAGGTAAGAACTTCTTGGCCTCAATGAGAAACGTTGTGTTTGGCAAAAAACCAAACGCCGTTTTCGAACAGAAGAACCTCATTCCAGCCGTCAAGCGTGGTGGTGGGAATGTGACGCTTTGGGGCTGCTTCAGGACCTGGACGGCTTGCCATCATTGACGCAACGATGAATTCTGCATTGTATCAGAAGATTATAGAGGTGAATGTCAGGCCATCCATCCACGAGCCGAGGCTGAACCGGAAGTGGGTTCTTGATCCGAAACACAAGCAGATCTACACAATAATGACTGCAGAAGAAGAAATTCCGCGTTTTACAATGGCCTCGTCAAAGTCCGGACCAAAACCCAATCGAAATGTTGTGGCAGTACCTGAAGCGAGCTGCCCATGCAAGTCAAACCTCAAATGTCACCGACGCAGTTCTGTAAGTAGGAATGGGCCAAAATTCCTCAAATCTGGTGGGAGAGAAACTGACTAGCGGTTACAGGAAACGCTTAGTTGCAGACATTGCTGCTCAAGGGGGTGTGTCACCGGTTACTGCATCTACTTTTTCACACGTGGTGATTGAATGTAGAATCATTTGGGGATACATACATCATGTTTTTGTGTCATTTGTTTCTTCAGGTTACCTTTATCTAATATTAGGATTTAGATTAAGAGCTAATAGACATTTTAGGTCTGAAATATGTAAAATGTGTGACAGTCCTAAGGGTTTCACAAACTTTTTTTTCTAGGCACTGCAAGTAAATAAAATAAATCACGACGTGTCAATAGCAACACAAGCGGTCGTGCTCAGGCGGAAAAAAATATCATCCAGCAATGGAACTGCTGGATTATATTTATTTTATTTTCTACATACTAAGTGGACTTTACCGAAAGAACCATAGAGCAAGGATTCCTGCAGTCACAAAAGCTTCAAATCAAGATTAAATATTGCTGTTAAATTACTATGGTTTAATTATATTTACACGTGCTTAACGTAAGACGCTAACTTATTAACACTTAACGGCTTTAAATTAACGAGCTCATTGTAAAATTTGCAACGCACACAAAATAGAACTTTTAAAAAGACGCCGAGAGGCGTGGGAGGATAAATGACGGTGAAACGAATCACCAGATTCCGTGAGAAGTCATCACACTGACAACACCGACGTTGGGATGGTGAGACACCAGGACGGAGGGGATTGCAGATGACCGGAGCTGCGACAGGGTTTCTATGTGAGTCTATGGGTCTCTGTGTGTGTATGGGTCTCTGTGCGAGTCTATGGGTCTCCGTGTGAGTCTATGGGTCTCTGTGTGTGTCTATGGGTCTCTGTGTGTGTCTACGGGTCTCTGTGTGAGTCTACGGGTCTCCGTGTGTGTCTATGGGTCTCCGTGTATGTCTATGGGTCTCCGTGTGTGTCTATGGGTCTCCGTGTCTATGGGTCTTTGTGTGTCTATGGGTCTCGGTGTGAGTCTATGGGTCTCTGTGTGTGTCTATGGGTCTGTGTGTGTGTCTATGGTTCTCGGTGTGAGTCTATGGGTCTTTGTATGTGTCTATGGGTCTCTGTGTGAGTCTATGGGTCTCTGTGTGTGTCTATGGGTTTCGGTGTGAGTCTATGGGTCTCTGTGTGTCTATGGGTCTCTGTGCGAGTCTATGGGTCTCTGTGTGAGTCTATGGGTCTCTGTGTCTATGGGTCTTTGTGTAAGTCTACGGGTCTCTATGCAAGTCTATGGGTCTCTGTGTGAGGCTACAGGTCTCTATGTGAGTCTATGGGTATCTGTGTGTCTATGGGTCTCTGTGTGAGTCTATGGGTCTCTGTGTCTATGGGTCTTTGTGTAAGTCTACGGGTCTCTATGCAAGTCTATGGGTCTCTGTGTGAGGCTACAGGTCTCTATGTGAGTCTATGGGTATCTGTGTGTCTATGGGTCTCTGTGTGAGTCTATGGGTCTCTGTGTGAGTGCACGGGTCTGTGGGTGTGTCTATGGGTCTCTGTGTGAGTGTACGGGTCTGTGGGTGTGTCTACGGGTCTGTGGGTGTGTCTACGGGTCTGTAGGTGAGTCTACAGGTCTGTGGGTGGGTCTATTGCAACTGGGCCGAGACCATTAACTCTCTGCAGCAGGGAACGCGGAGTAATCACTGTGTGTGCGACTCAAACCTGGACTTGAACCCAGGTCCTCTGCAGTGCCGGCCATTGTGAACCTCCCTGCGCCAGGGAGGTTCACAATAAGGTGTTGGGGGCTCCACGGTGGCTAGGAGATGTTAACGACCTCGCCTGGTACACAGAAGGTAGTGGTTCTGATCCCGACCCTGACGCCTGCTGTAAATGTTGTGTTTGCGTGTCTCCCTCTCTCTCATCATCACAGTGGCTAGGAGATGTTAACTACCTCGCTTGGTGTACAGGAGGTCGTGGGTTCGATCCCAACCCTGACGCCTGCTGCTGTATATTTGGAGTTTGTGGTGTCTCTCTCCACGTGGTCGCGTGGATTTTTCTCCGGGTCCTCCGGTTTTTCCCCCCACATTTAGAATCAACGTCGCGCGTTTTAGAGCAAAAATTTTTACGCTGTAAATTTCCACATGGATGAGCCACTATCATTGAGCCATCGTTAGTGATGGCCAAGATTTGTTTCAGTTAAAGAGCTCCATCGCTCAGTGGGCCTTACCTGGTAAAGTAATGAGGAAGAGGAGGTGGCGGGAAGATGAGGACTCATGGGGTCGAAGTGGAGACATTGGTGTGGACGGGAATATGGGACTCGTTCCACATTCGCTGCGAAAGCCTCACCTTGGCTATGGAGTCATAGAACGGGTCGCTTGTAATGAAGTTCACTCCATCATCATCATCAGAGCCATCATCAGAGCCATCGTCGTCGTCGTCATCTCGTTGATCTTCACCACTCTTGTAACCATCACCATCATTTTTATCATGAGCTCTTTCTGCTTTGTGAAAATCATCATCACCACCATGATCGTTACCATCATGATCATTACCATCGTCACCATCATGATCGTGACCATCATCATCACCATCATGATCGTTACCATCAGCATCGCCGCTATCATCATCATCATCATCATCTCTCTTCGTAAAGCCACCACCACCATCACCAATGTCTTCATCATCATCTATCGCATCAATGCCGCCACCCTTGTGAAATTCATCATCACCGTGATCACCACCACCGTCGCCACCGTCGCCACCGTCGGCATCGTCCCCACCGTCGTCCCCACCGTACGCCGCGGGGTGCAGAGGGGGGTGCGTGCCGGGAGGGTAGAGAATGGGCGCGACCCCCTGCAGCTGCGCGAGAAGCGGGTCCCAGGCCCCCCACGCGGCCTCCAGCTCGCCCAGCGACACGAAGGCGGCGCCGCGGCCACGCAGGGCGGCGTCCAGCAGCACGGCGTGGGCGCTGCCCTCCAGCGCCAGCTCCACCTCCTCATCGCCGCCGATATTGTCGGGGTCGCGGTTCGACTGGGAATCGACAAGAACGGTGGTGATGCTGCCGTTGAGTCATCGTCACCATCGTCACCATCGTCACCATCGTCACCATCGTCACCATCGTCACCATCGTCACCGCCGCTGCTGCTGCTGCTCGAGCCGCCTGGCCTATGGCGAGCGTTTGGTACAAAGCCGCGACCGGTGAGCATCACAGCTGCACTCAGGGCTGCTAGCGAGGAGTAGCGATGAAATTCGGTTCAGCACACGAGGAGGTCTGTGGCCAGCACCACGCCCAGCCACCTTTGTCTCCCTCATGGCAATCGCACCAGGTACACATTTGAGGCTGAGTCGACCTAGGGGAGGCCCAAGACCGGTTAAGATAATCGTCAGCGGTGTTGGCCGTGAGCGGGAATCGAACTCGGGTCTTCCGGTTCGTAGCGCAACGTAGCGCTAACCACCACCACCACCACCACCGGGACTCACCACCACCATCACCACCACCACCACCATCACCACCACCACCACCGGGACTCACCATCACCACCATCACCACCACCACCAGGACTCACCACCACCACCAGGACTCACCACCAGGACTCACCACCACCACCAGGACTCACCACCACCACCACCAGGACTCACCACCACCACCAGGACTCACCACCACCACCACCAGGGCTCACCACCAGGACTCACCACCACCACCAGGACTCACCACCACCACCACCAGGACTCATCACCACCACCACCACCAGGACTCACCACCACCACCATCACCACCATCACCGGGACTCACCACCACCACCAGGACTCATCACCACCACCACCACCACCAGGACTCACCACCACCACCACCAGGACTCACCACCACCACCAGGACTCACCACCACCACCACCAGGACTCACCACCACCACCACCAGGACTCACCACCACCACCAGGACTCATCACCACCACCACCACAAGGACTCACCACCACTATCACCACCACCACCATCACCTGGACTCACCACCACCACCATCACCGGGACTCACCACCATCACCACCACCACCATCACCACCACCATCACCACCACCATCACCACCACCACCACCATCACCACCATCACCACCACCACCACCACCACCGGGACTAACCACCACCGGGACTCACCACCACCACCAGGACTCACCACCACCACCAGGACTCAACACCACCACCACCACCAGGACTCACCACCACCACCAGGACTCACCACCACCACCGGGACTCACCACCACCACCACCAGGACTCACCACCACCACCACCAGGACTCACCACCACCACCACCGGGACTCACCACCACCACCAGAACTCACCACCACCACCACCACCGGGACCCACCACCACCACCATCACCACCACCACCAGGACTCACCACCACCACCACCGGGACTCACCACCACCACCGGGACTCACCACCACCACCAGGACTCACCACCACCACCACCACCAGGACTCACCACCACCACCATCACCACCACCACCAGGACTCACCACCACCACCATCACCACCACCAGGACTCACCACCACCACCAGGACTCACCACCACCACCACCACCAGGACTCACCACCACCACCACCACCAGGACTCACCACCACCACCACCAGGACTCACCACCACCACCAGGACTCACCACCACCACCAGGACTCACCACCACCACCACCAGGACTCACCACCACCACCACCAGGACTCACCACCATCACCACCACCACCAGGACTCACCACCACCACCACCAGGACTCACCACCACCACCAGGACTCACCACCACCACCAGGACTCACCACCACCACCAGGACTCACCACCACCACCACCACCAGGACTCACCACCACCAGGACTCACCACCACCAGGACTCACCACCACCACCAGGACTCACCACCAGGACTCACCACCACCACCACCACCAGGACTCACCACCATCACCACCACCACCAGGACTCACCACCACCACCACCACCAGGACTCACCACCACCACCAGGACTCACCACCAGGACTCACCACCACCACCACCAGGACTCACCACCATCACCACCACCACCACCACCAGGACTCACCACCACCACCACCAGGACTCACCACCACCACCACTAGGACTCATCACCACCACCACCACCAGGACTCACCACCACCACCATCACCACCACCACCATCACCGGGACTCACCACCACCACCAGGACTCACCACCACCACCACCAGGACTCACCACCACCACCAGGACTCACAACCACCACCGCCGGGACTCACCACCACCACCACCAGGACTCACCACCACCACCACCGGGACTCACCACCACCACCAGGACTCACCACCATCACCACCACCACCACCAGGACTCACCACCACCACCACCACCGGGACTCACCACCACCATCACCACCACCACCACCAGGACTCACCACCACCACCACCGGGACTCACCACCACCACCACCGGGACTCACCACCACCACCAGGACTCACCACCACCAGGACTCACCACCACCACCAGGACTCACCACCACCACCACCACCATCACCACCACCACCACCAGGACTCACCACCACCACCAGGACTCACCACCACCACCACCAGGACTCACCACTACCACCAGGACTCACCACCACCACCAGGACTCACCATCACCACCACCACCAGGACTCACCACCACCACCAGGACTCACCACCATCACCACCACCACCACCACCACCAGGACTCACCACCACCACCACCAGGACTCACCACCACCACCAGGACTCACCACCACCAGGACTCACCACCACCACCACCAGGACTCACCACCACCACCAGGACTCACCACCATCACCACCACCACCACCAGGACTCACCACCACCACCACCACCAGGACTCACCACCACCAGGACTCACCACCACCACCACCAGGACTCACCACCACCACCAGGACTCACCACCACCACCAGGACTCACCACCACCACCAGGACTCACCACCATCACCACCACCAGGACTCACCACCACCACCAGGACTCACCACCACCACCACCACCAGGACTCACCACCACCACCACCACCAGGACTCACCACCACCACCAGGCCTCACCACCACCACCAGGACTCACCACCACCACCAGGACTCACCACCACCACCAGGACTCACCACCACCACCAGGACTCACCACCATCACCACCACCACCACCAGGACTCACCACCACCACCACCATCACCACCACCACCACCACCACCAGGACTCACCACCACGACTCACCACCACCAGGAATCACCACCACCACCAGGACTCACCACCACCACCACCACCAGGACTCACCACCACCACCAGGACTCACCACCATCACCACCACCACCACCAGGACTCACCACCACCAGGACTCACCACCACCACCAGGACTCACCACCACCACCAGGACTCACCACCATCACCACCACCACCACCAGGACTCACCACCACCACCACCAGGACTCACCACCACCAGGACTCACCACCACCACCACCAGGACTCACCACCACCACCAGGACTCACCACCACCACCAGGACTCACCACCACCACCACCAGGACTCACCACCATCACCACCACCACCAGGACTCACCACCACAACCAGGACTCACCACCACCACCACCACCACCAGGACTCACCACCACCACCACCACCACCAGGCCTCACCACCACCAGGACTCACCACCACCACCAGGACTCACCACCACCACCAGGACTCACCACCACCACCACCACCAGGACTCACCACCATCACCACCACCACCACCAGGACTCACCACCACCACCACCATCACCACCACCATCACCACCACCACCACCACCACCAGGACTCACCACCACCACCACGACTCACCACCACCACCACCACCAGGAATCACCACCACCACCAGGACTCACCACCACCACCACCACCACCAGGACTCACCACCATCACCACCACCACCACCAGGACTCACCACCACCATCACCACCAGGACTCACCACCACCACCAGGACTCACCACCACCACCAGGACTCACCACCACCACCAGGACTCACCACCACCACCACCAGGACTCACCACCACCACCACCAGGACTCACCATCACCACCACCACCACCAGGACTCACCACCACCACCACCAGGACTCACCACCACCACCAGGACTCACCACCACCACCAGGACTCACCACCACCACCAGGACTCACCACCACCACCACCAGGACTCACCGCGCCGTCTCCGCCGCTGCCGCTGACGGGCCGTGACCGCGGCACGAACACGTGGAACGAGTCGAGCGGCGCGCCCAGCCATCGGATTCTCCTCCCTGCTGCGGCGACAGCCCCCCCCTCGCGCCCCCCGAGGGGGGGCTCCAGGTCGTCGTCTCCGAGGCCGAGCTCCTCCGGGTGCCGCGCCTCCCTCCAGAGCCGCTCGTCGACGCGCGGCCGGAAGAGAGTGCGGCTCACGAGCAGCGCCGACGCGTGGCCGGATCCCGCTCCGGCTCCGGATCCCGCTCCGGACTCGGACTCCGGGTCGTGGGCGCCGCCGCCGCCGCCGCAGCCCCCGATGAGGAAGGCGACCTGGGCCCCGCGGGGCCGGCGCAGCAGCAGGCGCGCGAGGGCCACGCGGCGCCGTGACGACAGCTTGCCCGAGGCGAGCACGAAGGGCACGGAGCGCCAGCGCGGTGAGGACCAGCGCAGCGCCACCGCTGCATGGGGGGGGGGGGGGCGGGGGGGGGGGCGGGGGAGAGGGGGGTAACGAACGAGCGATGAGTGGAAGCCGCGTGGAGTGAACAAGACCCCTCCCCCCCGGACCTCCTTCCCATACATGGCAAAGCAAAAAATAAACATCCTTCCATTTTAAAATGTTACTATATTTACCGTACCGTACTTACCACTCCAATCTCCAAGACTCTGCATCATGGGGCGATGTATACACGTGCAGTATTTTCATCAAGTTGTATGTAGTGTATCATGTGCCGTATATATTTGACATCTGAAAATCAAGAATAGCTCCGTTTTTTTTTTTCCACGAACACGTTTGCCGATCGCCGGAACTGGGTCACAGCCTTCAAAGCGGTGTTTTGCCGGCTTCGCCGGATCGACCCACCCCCCCCAGGAAAACAGGCCGGATAAGCGCGCGGTGCCGGATAATCGATTGATCATAACCGTACTTTTCCACCAAGGCCCGGGCCCGTGCACGGGCGCGGGGATGCGTGCGGGCAGGCGCCACACCTGCATAGGTCGCCGTGCGGCTGCCGTTGCCCTCGGCGACCCCAGCCAGCCCCAGCTCCTGGGCAAGCTCCTCCCCGTAGCCCTCGTATTGGCCAATCACGGCGTTCGAGCGATCCGGCGGCAGCAGCTCGGCCAACGAGGCGGCCCGCAGCATCGCCGCGGCGACGGGGTCGCGAGCGGGGGGCATCTCCATGGCGATGAGGGCCGCCACCTGGGTCAAGTGGTTCTGCAGCACGTCGCGCACCACCCCGTACTTGTCGTAGAAGCTCATCCGCCCTGTGGGGGGTGTGGGATGGAGGTGGGTGGGAGGCGGTGGCGCAGCGGTTAGCACTACAAACCTGGCGATCCTGGGTTCGATTTCCTGCTCACGGCCGACGCCGCCAGTGACGACTATCCGAAACCGGTCCTGGGCGTCCGTCCCAGGTCGACTCAGCCTTAAATGAGTACCTGGTGCGGTGTTGTAAATACCGTCGCTGGAGAGACAATGGCGGCCGGGCGTGGTGCTGGTTACCCACCCCCTCGTGTGCTGTGTCGGCCTTCATAGGTGCATCTCGCGAACAGCACTTCACCTAACAGTCTGCAAAAGGCTATACGGGGGATCTTTGTGTTTGGTATTGGTGCTGTTGAAAGTGATGATGATGTTGATGGCGATGTTTCAAGTGGTGGTTGATGTTGATGGTGGTGATGATGGTAGCGGTGTGTAAACATCGCCACTGGGGAGACAAAGACGGCAGGGCGTGTAGTTGGCCAACTCGCCCCCTCGTGTGCCGTGCCGGCCTTCTCAGGTGCATCTCGCTAACAGCACTTGCCCCAACAGTCTGTTAAGGCTACACGGGCTATCTTTGTCTTTTGTGGGTGGGGAGGATGGGGGATGGCGTGACGACGATGACGACGATGGGAAAGAGGTGGCCCGGAGACCTTTTCCAGCCGCCGGGTCGTGATGGCCGTGTCGGCTGTAAAGCGGCAAGACGCCGAGTGTGAGTCGGAGGGCTCCGGCCCGGTGCGTCTCCGTCTCCCCGGAGGTTCACAGTGGCCGTGTCGGTGGCAATTGCTGAGGGGGGGGGGGGGGGGGGGGGCTGTGGGTTTGGGACCAGGCACGGGGTGTTTCCGTCGGGGGTCCGTGACGGTCGTGTTAACGACACACCGAGGCCGTGACACCGAGAGCCTGGGTATCGGAGCGTCTCTTTCTTCCAGGGACGTTCATCTTGGCCGTGTCAGAGACACTGAGGATGAGACTGCTGAGGTTGAGCCCGTAAAGAAAGAGACACCAGACACTGAGATTGACCGCAGGTCTCAGCGGTGCTTGCTTGGCGTCACATGACACGACCGTTTTTGCACTCCCCAGGCAGACACACCAATTCAGGGATCGACCCAGGGTTTCAACGGTTGCCGGATCAGCGCCTCGAACACGGCCATTCTGAACCTCCTCTCTCCCCGTGGTCGCGTCGACTTTTCTCCCTCCAGTCTTCCCCTCCAGTCTCCCCCTCCAGTCTCCCCCTCCAGTCTCCCCCTCCAGTCTCCCCCTCCAGTCTCCCCCTCCAGTCTCCCCCTCCAGTCTCCCCCTCCAGTCTCCCCCTCCAGTCTCCCGCTCCAGTCTTCCCCTCCAGTCTCCCCCTCCAGTCTCCCCCTCCAGTCTCCCCCTCCAGTCTTCCCCTCCAGTCTTCCCCTCCAGTCTCCCCCTCCAGTCTTCCCCTCCACATTTCGCATCAACGTGAAGCGTTCAGATCATTTTGGCTTCCGTAAATTTCCACACAATGACGATAGGCCAGATCGCTTCTAATGAAGAGCTACACAGCAGCTCAATGGTGCCCTACACCTGTTAAAATAAAAAAATATAGTTTAACCTTTGACCCCGTGCGTCTCCATCAGCGTGACCTCCACCCTGCGGACGTTGGGGCCGCCCCAGACGGTGGTGAGAGACGCAGCATTGAGCGCTCGGAACGGCAGGATCGCAGCCACCGCCTTCACCGCACAACCACACACAGCCACACACCACACAACCACACGTCAACAACACACTCACAACCACGCAACCAAACACAGACACAGCCACACAAGCACGCCCACACAGACACACAAACAGCCACACACACACAACCACACTTCAGCCACACAGGCGCACACGTCATCCACACATTCACACTCGCAACCATACAAACACACACTCACAGCCACACAGCCACACATAACCACGTGGCAACCACGTGGCCACACACACACAGCCATCGTCCACACACTAACAATCACAAGGACAAAGATGCCTCCGTATAGCCAGACTGTTGGGGCAAGTGCTGTTAGTGAGCACCCATGAAGGCCGGAGCGAGGGTGGGTGGTCAGCACCACACCCGGCCGCCTTTGTCTCCCTCGTGGTGATGTTTACTAACCGCACTCACTGCAGAATGGCGCGGGAGAACATACAGACTCCATACAGACAGGGCACACACACACAGCCACACGTCAACCACACATCCACACACTCACAACCGCACATGGACACACACTAACACACACATACTGATGTAGTGGAGTAGGAAAGTGCGTAGTGCAAAGTGTGATTGCATGGTAACAAAGACAGCACGGCTTATGTTGGGTCAGCCTGTTGTGAAGGCAAAGTCATTACGGGTCATGTTGGGTCAGCCTGTAGCGAAGGCAAATAGAGTACAGGTTATGTTAGGGCAATTAAGCTGGGGGAGCCAAGGACGGCTGTGATTGGTTGGTGTTGTCGTCAAGGCTAAGAGTGGCGTCTTGAAGTCTGGGAGGTAACAGGTGCAACGGTCACGCGGAGCGCCGTTGGGACGCGGGTTGATTAATTGGGGCGTAATGAGAGCGGGGATAAATTGGGGAGACGTGAGGAGAAACGGGGGGTTTTGGAGTTGGAGTGAGAGTTGGAGTTGGGGGCTGGACGAGGCAAGACGTGGAGCAGCTGAGGAGACAGAGTTTGGAGACAGAGTTTGGAGACAGAGTTTGGAGACAGAGTTGGAGACAGAGTTTGGAGACAGAGTAGAGAGAGCGTAACGATAGCGGAGCTGAAGAAGGGAAGCAGCTAGCAGTAGAGAGAGAGCGTAACGATAGCAGAGCTGAAGAAGAGAAGCAGCTAGTAGTAGAGAGAGTGTAACGATAGCAGAGCTGAAGAAGAGACGTAGTTAGCAGTGGAGAGAGCATAGCGACGGTGATAGCGGAGAGTGGAAACGAAGAAGTTAGCGGTGGAGTAAGCGCAGTGATAGTGGGGAGTGGAGAGACAAAGGTGGCGAGTGAGTCGAGTGAAGCACGGCGAGCGAGCCGTGGCGACGTGGATACTGTGGAATATTGAGGACATGCGGAGAGTTGTAAATAAAGCGGTGTTCGAAGAAAGACAAAAGTTGTCCGAGTGAAATCGAACACTACACTAATACTAACACACACACTTACACAACAACAACAACAACCGCCATTCGCCACTAAGTGGCGGTGACATCACCACGACGCTTGTGCCAGGTCATGTGCACCTTGAGGCCACGTGAAGTGTCGAATGCCCACTGGCAGGAGGTCACGGGGCAGACCCAGGTGCCACGGGTCGACTGACTAAGATGACAGAGATGACTGGCTGATGCACCACCTGTGCCCCCTACTGTGCCAACTTGATGTGCTTTAGCCACCCGGCACTCCGCTCATTGTTGTGAGCGTCGCTCCTCCGCCCTCCATTGTTGTTGGAGGGCGACTGCCTCCAACTGCCCAGTAGCGTCCTTCACGAGCCTCGTCCACAGAGGCCGATCTTAACACCGCTGGTACCAGTCATCGGCAAGTCCACTCAGCTCCACGTCCACCTGTACCACATCACTCCATCTCTTCTCTAGCCCGTGCCATGCCCGTTTAGCCCCCTCAATACGGCCGAACAAAAGCTGTTTAGGCATGCGGTGGCTGGGCATGCGGACTACATAACCCAACCAACGCAGCCTTGCCTGCCGGAGGAGCTCACCGATGGGACATTGTCCACATCTTTCAAGGATTTGTGAGGTCCTCACACAATCCAGCCTGGTTTTACCCCAGGATGGATCGTAGGCAGGCCAGCCTAAATGTTTCTAACCGGCGAAGATGTTCCATTAGGGGGGTCCACGTTTCGCAAGCATAGAGAATGGAGGGAATGACCGTGGCCGAGAAGACCTAAAGCTTCATGTGGAGTGATAAACCAGGTAGCTTCCACACAGCGTTATGCAACTGATGAAAAGATTATGCCGCTCGACTGATTCAGAGTGAGACCTCTGCTGTTAAACCGGAGCCGGTCATGAGCACACTGCCAAGGTATGGGAAACTCTCCACTCTCTCCACAACTGCCCTATCACCAATTGGGAGTTGTGGGGGTGGAGTGTCCGATGGTACAAAATACCCAGGCAGGTGCTTAGTTTTGGTGGGTCTGATGGTAAGGCCCCACCTCTTGGTGGCAAGCTCCAGGTTCAGCAGCAGCGCCTCCAACTCCTCCTCTGAGTGAGCAGAAATTACCAGATCATCGGCATACATAATGTGGTTGAGCAATAGGGAGCCATCCCTTGACCGCACCTGGGCATCGATCAGCCTCCCATTGTATCTGTACCAAATGGAAATTCCTCTGGAAAAGCTATTGAAGGCTTTACGAACTACTTGGTCAAAAGAGATGTTAAATAATGTGGGAGCCAGAGGACATCCCTATCGCACCCCAAAGTGTACAGGGAATGGCTCTGACTCCCGGCCATGTAGTTTTACCCAGGCCCGCTCACCATCAAGAAGGTCCTTAATGATCGTGAGCAGAGGGTCAGGGACTCCGAAAGCACGAAGAACAACCCATCAGGCCTACTGATGGTAACATAGACCAGGTCAATAAAGCAGAGATGTAGGTCTTGTTGGAATTCCCTACACCTCTGCTCTAGCAGACGGACAGAGAATATGGCATCTGTGCAGGACCGCCCTTTCCTGAAACCGCATTGGGGCTCCGCAAGCCTCTCCTCAGCGTGCCTAACAAGGCGATGTTGAATAATCCTTGCCAGGACCTTTCCCGGCACACTGAGGAGTGACATGCCCCTGTAGTTGTTAAAGGGGGACCACCAGGGCATCCTTCAAATCTTGTGGAACCCGTCCAGTAGTCCAGACTGTTGTTATGATGTCATGTAGGGTAGTCTGTGCACAAACACCACCCTCCCTCAGCATTTCGGTTGGGAGATCATCTCTGCCCAGTGCCTTTCCTGGTCTCAGACTCTGGATCGCCTTCAGTACTTCCTCAACAGATGGCACCTCAGCCAGCCACTTACAGGGGGTGACTTCCTCCTCCAATATTTGAGGCACCGCAGCCTCAGCAGGGTCATCCCCACTTTGTCCCACGTTTTCCTGGCTGAGGGATTTCCCCTGCCCCAGGACTTCACAGAAATGTTCAGCAAATCTGCAAACCTGTTCCTGGGGGACGGAGATTGGATCACCATTCTTTCCCCTAATGAAGGTAATAGGTGTGGTGCTGCAGATTACTTTTTTGATGGAATTAAAGAGCGATTTGTGATCGCGGGCCACTGAGGCAGACTCCATCTCCTCAGCAACCCGTGACCACCACCCATCCTTGCAGCGCCTCACGGCTCTCCAAACCTCCGAGCGAAGGCTGCGGTAAGCCTCCTCATTCTCCGACGTGGGATGCTGTAGCCGATGAGAGTGGGCCTGTCGCTTTTTCTCAGCCAGCTTGAACACCTCCTCTGTCAGCCAGGGTCTCTGGGGAGGTCTGGACCGTGTACCCAAAGCAGCCATTGCAGCTGCATGAGCCACATTTCATCATCTGCAAGTGATGATGAAATTCTCGCTTGCAACTTTCATCAGCTAGCTGAGACCATGCCACTAAGGGTTTGAATGGGGTCCTGGGTGTACACCCACCACTGGAGTGGAAGAATGGCAGGCACATCTTACAAATGACAAGTCGATGGTCAGTGGGCAGATCAGCTGCACGGTAGGTCCTGGTGTCAAGGACATGGGCCCGCATCCGCTGTTCCATCACTATGTAGTCCAGCAGATGTTCTTGCTTGGACCCGGCATGCATCCATGATGTGGTGTGGATGCACCAATGCCAGAACAGCGTGTTGGTAATTACAAGCCCATGGGCTGCACAAAAATCTAGCAGCCTCCTGCCGTTGTTATTGAGCTGATCTGGCCCATGCCCTCCAATCACTCCAGACCAGGTGCCAGCATCATGACCAACTCGGGCATTGAAGTCACCCAACAAGATCACTCGATCCCGAGGGGCCACTTTAGCCAGCACCTGTGACCTGAGGTCATAGAAGGCATCTAACTCATAGGCCTTGCCTGCATCCCTCCACGGATGTTCGTCTAAGGTGGGGGCATAAGGAACCACGACCACCACTCCTCACCTGGTTGATGGGAAGGCGAGCCCAAAGTAGCCTGGGGCTTACAGCTTCCCATACCTCACCGCCACGCTCCCAAGCCCCTTTCATTATTTTGTTCAGGAGAAGAGCCACACCCTGTTGTTTGGCAGTCTCCTGCCCCGAGTAGAGGACTGTCCACCCCTCATGGTGGCAGGAGCCAGAGCCGGTCCACCGGACCCTCCTGAATACCACGGAAATCCAGGCGGTACCGGTCCAGTTCCTGACAGAGGAGTGGCAGCCTCTCCTCCCTAGCGAGCGTTCGAACATTCCACGTGGCCACGCGGAGTGTTTTTTTGTTGTTTCTGGAGGAGCCCCGAGGGTAAGGATTCAGTCTCCTGGCTCCGCCAAATGGGGTGTGGCCAGGAGACATCATAGATGCCTGTCCCCCCGAGGCCTCCGGCACAAACTTACTTATTACATTTTGTGGTCGTGTATTAGTGGTAATTAATTGAAGGTGGAGGGGTTACCAGCCCCTCGCACCCGTCCAGAGCCCCCATTTAACCGTTGTGGTGGTTACAAACGCCGTGAAGGGAAAGGCACCAATCAGAATTGGCCCTCCCCCCACGGCACTGCCCACGACAGCATTGCCCGTCCGGCACCACAAAGAGGTAGGGGGTTGTTTTGCCGAACACACACACACTAACACACACTATCAACAAAACAAAGATCCCCCATATAGCCTTAACAGACTGTAGGGGCAAGTGCTGTTAGCGAGCACCTATGAAGGCCGGAATGGTACACGAGGGGGTGGGTGGCCAGCACCACGCCCGACCACCTTTGTCTCCCAAGTGGTAATGTTTACACACCACACCAGGTACTCATTTGAGGCTGAGTCGACCTAGGGGAGGCCCGGGACCGATTCAAATAATCGTCACTGGTGGTGTTGACCGTGAGCGGGAATCGAACCCGGGTCGCCAGGTTCATAGCGCAGCGCGCTAACCGCTACACTATCGCTCCCCACACACTATCACACACACTAACACAACCACGCATTAACTATACAATAACACATACAATCACAACCACACGACAACCACACATCCACGCACACATCGGCAACCGCACATCGGCACACCCACGAGCACATGTCCGAACGCAACGACACGCGCAAACCACAACAACCACACACACAGACCTCAACAACCACACACGTAGACCTCAACAACCACACACGTAGACCTCAACAACCACACACGTAGACCACAACAACCACACGCGTAAACCACAACAACCACACACGTAGACCACAACAACCACACGCAAAGACCTCAACAACCACACGCGTAGACCTCAACAACCACACACGTAGACCTCAACAACCACACACGTAGACCTCAACAACCACACACGTAGACCTCAACAACCACACGCGTAGACCTCAACAACCACACACGAGACCTCAACAATCACACACGTAGACCTCAACAACCACACACGTAGACCTCAACATCCACATGCGTAGACTTCAACAACCACACGCGTAGACCTCAACAACCACACACGTAGACCTCAACAACCACACACTTAGACCTCAACAACCACACGCGTAGACCTCAACAATCACACACGTAGACCTCAACAACCACACGCGTAGACCTCAACAACCACGTAGACCTCAACAACCACACACATAGACCTCAACAACCACACGCATAGACCTCAACAACCACGTAGACCTCAACAACCACACACATAGACCTCAACAACCACACACGTAGACCTCAACAACCACACGCGTAGACCTCAACAACCACACACGTAGACCTCAACAATCACACACGTAGGCCTCAACAACCACACACGAGACCTCAACAACCACACACGTAGACCTCAACAACCACACACATAGACCTCAACAACCACACATGTAGACCTCAACAACCACGTAGACCTCAACAACCACACGCGTAGACCTCAACAACCACACACGTAGACCTCAACAACCACACGCGTAGACCTCAACAACCACACACGTAGGCCTCAACAACCACACATGTAGACCACAACAACCACACACTTAGACCTCAACAACCACACACGAGACCTCAACAACCACACGCGTAGACCTCAACAACCACACGCGTAGACCTCAACAACCACACACGTAGACCACAACAACCACACACGTAGACCTCAACAACCACACGCGTAGACCTCAACAACCACACACGTAGACCTCAACAACCACACACGTAGACCTCAACAACCACATACGTAGACCTCAACAACCATACACGTAGACCTCAACAACCACACGCGTAGACCTCAACAACCACGTAGACCTCAACATCCACACACGTAGACCTCAACAACCACACGTGTAGACCTCAACATCCACACACGTAGACCTCAACAACCACACACGTAGACCTCAACAACCACACGCGTAGACCTCAACAACCACACACGTAGACCTCAACAACCACACACGTAGACCACAACAACCACACACGTAGACCCCAACAACCACACACGTAGACCTCAACAACCACACGCGTAGACCTCAACAACCACGTAGACCTCAACATCCACACACGTAGACCTCAACAACCACACGCGTAAACCACTAAAAGGGTAACCGGGTCGACGACACCGTCGGATGGACCGGTCCGCCCCCCGGGTGCGGCGAGGCGGAGTTGCGCACCGGCTTGGCGAGGTAGTGGTCGACGAGGTGGAGCTCGCCGTGGCGCAGCGAGCCGGCGAGCGACGCCGCGAGCTCCCGCGACGACGCCAGGTCCCGTCCAAACGGCTTCTCCAGCAGCACGCGCAGCCACGCGCCGGGCTGGGTGCACGCACGCACGCGCGCGCGAACGTCAACCCGCACAGCCGAAACGGACCGTTGGGGCCAGCGCTGTAGGCGAGAAACGCCTGCAAAGGCCTAGGGGGTGGGTGGCCAACACCACGCCCCGCCGCCTTTGTCTCCCCAGTGGTGATGTTTATGCACTGCACCGGAATCGAACTGGGTTTGACGGATTCATAGTGCAGTGTGCTGACCGCTACGCTAACACTTCCCACATACATGCAGAAACAAAGATAAAGGTTCCCCGAACAGCCTTAACAGGCTTTTGGGGCAAGTGCTGTTACAGAGCAGCACCTATAAAGTCTGGCAAGGCACACGAACGATGTCTCACCACCAAATAATCGTCACTGGTGGTGGCCGTGATCGGGAATCGAATTTGTCGTTGCCATGTTCGTAGCGCAGCGTGCTAACCGCTACACTACCGCTCCCCAACATGCACACACGTGCACACACGTGCATTTTTTACACACGTGCATTTTTAGCCATGTAGTAATGTGCTGGCCTGTACACGCAGCAGGCGCACCCCTTCATCTCACCTGTCCACCCCTCCATCACCATCACCATCAATCAACATCAATCACCTCACCCGTCTACCTACGTCTCACCTGTCCGCCCCTCCTCTCTCACCATGAATCCTCTCACTCGCCGTCCACCCGCGGTCTCACCTGTGGCGGGCGGCAGTGCCTGTGGAGGCGGGCGACGATGCCGGGATAGGCGTGCGGCGGCACCGACAGGTAGAAGAGCCGCCCGTTCTCCACGAGGCCCTCCTCCTCAGCCCGCGCCGACAGGAAGTCCCGGCACAGCGATAGGAAGTCGCCCTCCGTCGACAGGCGGTGGTACGAGGTGAGCATCACAAACTGATGCCTGCAGCAACATCATCAGCATCGTCGTCAGCAGCATCATCAGCAACGTCGTCATCATCAGTAAACATTGTCAGCATCGTCGTCAGCGGCATCATCAGCAACATCGTCAGAAACATTGTCAGCATCGTCAGCATCGTCATCACCATTGTCAGCAACATCATCTTCGTCAGCATCATCATTGTCAGCAGCATCGTCATCATCAGCAACATCGTCAGCATCAGCAACACACGTTAACGTAGCCAACGCGTTAACGCAGCCACACGCGTTAACACAGCCACACGCGTTAACACATCCACACGCGTTAACGCATTCACACGTTAACACAGCCACACGCGCTAACGCAGCCACACGCGTTAACACAGCCACACGCGTTAACACAGCCACACGTTAACACAGCCACACGTTAACACAGCCACACGTTAACACAGCCACATGTTAACACAGCCACACGCGTTAACACAGCCACACGCGTTAACACATCCACACGCGTTAACACAGCCACACGCGTTAACGCAGCCAACGCGTTAACAGAGCTACCCGTGTTAACACAGCCAACCCGTTAACGTCTCCAGCACGGGTTGTGAAGTGTTAACAAACAAAGAAGGGACTCAACGATTAGAATAAGCAACATACAGCAGGAACGGGTGAACAAGTGAACGGAGAGGAACACGAGCGAGCGGTGCGAACGATCGAGCGGGCGATTGGGCAATTGAGAGGGCGAGTGATCGAGCGATCGAGCAAGCGAGGGAGTGGGCGAGCGATCGAGCAGGGAAGAGAGCAAGCGAGCGAGTGGGCGAGTATTGGAGCGATCGAGCGATGGAGCAGGCGAGTGACACAGGGAGTAGGCGAGCGGGGGCGAGCAATGGGAGCGAGCGAGCGAACGGGCGAGCGGTTGAGCGAGCGGAAGAGCGATCGAGCGATCGAGCGGGCGAGCGATAGAGCGGGCGAACGACGGAGGGACCTCAGGACGCCGCACAGCGCCGGAGCCACCCTCCGCGGGCACCGTAGCCGCCCCGGCCCCAACGCGCTGAACATCGCGGGCCGCCCCTCCGCGGGTTCCGCTCGCGCCGCGCCGTGGAACGAGAACGTGTCTCGCCGCCACCCCCCGCCATCGTCTCCCCCTCCTCCTCCTCGTGGTGGCGGTGCCGGCACGCTCGCCCGCTGGGCGTAGACGCTGAAGAGCGCCGGCCACAGGTGGCGGCGTGCCAGGTCCCCCGTGGCGCCCAGCAACACCACGCTGTAGTGACCGCCCTGGGTCAGCACAGGGGGGCGCAGGGCGAAGGTCACGAGCAGCCATCGCACGGCCGCCCCCGGTAAACGCGCCATTGTGGTGACGATGGCGTCTCCTCCTCCACCTCCTGTTCCTCCTCTTCCTGATGCTGCCGCTGCTGCTCTGTTGTCACCTCCTCGTCCCCCTCCTCCTCCTTTGCTTCCAGATGTCGGTCCTCGCCTCGATGTTATTTCCCTCTTGGTTTTGTTCATCCGCGACAAGTTTCACCCGGGATGTCACCTGGTTCAATAAAGGGGATCACAAGGGGGCAGCGATGAATCTAAATGGAGCCATGCCGAGTAAAATACAGAGCGACTACTTTACTTATGAATTTTCGACTTAGAAACTTTTATAGATACGAAAAAACCTGTCCATATGTCCAGATGCCTGTTCAGACCGAGAGTCGCAAGTTCAACGGCCACGCAATAGATGGCGGCGGTGGCATCTACGTCTGCAGAACGTGAAGAACCAGTGGCATCTACATCTACAGGAGATTTGACAACTTTTAAAGCCATTCCCCATGTTTAGTGTACATGCCATACAGCGTGTTTGGAATCGTCAGGAGTAAAGTTGTACTTGTGTAGTGAGGTTAATGGTGTCGCGATGGTGTTAGCGCCAGCCACTGTCACAAGAGTGCTACTGTGCGTCTGGAACCTCTCACGGGGGCCAGAGTGAGTACGGCATGCGAGCAGGCCCTAGGGGGCATAGTCCTGGTGACGGCCTGAGAGAGGGCAAGTGAGGACGGGGTAGTCTGGGTGAACCCGAGAGGGCACGTGACCCGGACAGGGTAGCGGGCTTGAGGGACACGTGATCCTTCGGGAAAGATCCCAAAGAGGCGTGGCCGAGGGCGGAGCGAGGCCACGCCCCCTTTGGGAAAGATCCCGAAGGGGGCGTGGCCGAAGGTGGAGCGAGGCCACGCCCCCTTTGGGAAAGATCCCGAAGGGGGCGTGGCCGAGGGCGGAGCGAGGCCACGCCCAGGAGCATAATTGGGCAGTGCCAGGAGCGTTCGTGGCTGTTCTCTGGAATCAACCCTCGGCGCCACGTCTCTCCGATCTTCGGCCTCCGCTCGGCATCGTGGGTCAGTCAGGATGTTACTGACTGGCCCGGTTATGCAGCTACCCTGTTGGGGTCTAGTTAGCGTGTGTAAGTTTATGCAGTTAACCCTGTTGGGCTGTGTAATAAACGTGTTGCGTCCAAGTCAAGTGTGTGCCTCCGTGAAGAACACTACACTTACGAACAAATCGACTAACGAACAGGACCTCTGGAACCGAACTCATTCGTAAGTAGAGGAGTCCCTGTGTAGTGCTTGTCCCACACGAGAGCAAGAGGATTGGCCGGAACATTGAAAATGGAAAAGAGCTGGAGGGTTGGGTGAGCATCAGGTCAGACGGTGAGGCTAGATGAGGGTTAGAGAAGATGAAGATTGGTGGAGACGAGGTGCGACGAGGTGCGGAGCCCGGAAGCGGTTAACAGAGGGAGCGGGAGGCGGATTCCGGGGCTTTGCGGGAGAGAGAACGAGAAGGAAGGTTTTTACATTTTGATTTTATAGCTTTCGTGACTGCAGGGATTCATAATCTTAGTTCTTTCGGTAAAGTCACGTAGAAAGGACACAATAAAATAATAAAAATATAAAACAATAAAATTCTCACGACGTTTCATCATCAGATGTGAAAACCACAGCAAGAAAATGTTCTTGCTGTGGTTTTCACACCTGATGATGATTGCTTGTGCTGCAGTCGAAACGTCGTGAGAATTTTATTGTTTTATATTTTTATTATTTTATTGTTTCCCTTCGACGTGGTGACTTTACCGAAAGTACCAAGAATATGAGAAGCAAGGTGTGGACCCGTGACGTGGAATAGAGATCCTTCCTAGTGGATAAAGAAAAGGGCCATAGTCTTCTTTCACCTGTACAGGAAGTGACTCGCATGGGATGACAAGTCTCAGCGGGGGGGGGGGGGGGGGGGGGGGGGGAGCTATCATCTGACACCAAAATAAAGGTCGCCAATCGCAACACAAAATCTCAACGGAAAAAAAAACACCCGTCGACAGGCAGCTTGGCCCTGGTTAAATTCAAGAAAACTCAACACACCCATCAGTCGCACGCTGTACGTGTACGCACGCGCATTAAAACTTCTTTCGTGCCCTCCATAGCCGACCGTGCTAAATCGGAGGCGCAGGGGAAAGGGCCAACAGAACCGAACACAACAACAAGCAGTTCTACAAAGAAATTCGTGGTTTTTTGTTTGTTATCTGGATGATTTAAAAGTGCGTAGTTCAATGGTTGCTTCCTAAAATACGGGAAGAAAAGAGACGTTCCAGACGACTGCAGAAGTGGGTCTGGAAGCACCGCGCGATGATGATGATGCAGTGACCACCGCGTTTGTTTGATGCCTTAGACAAAAGCCACTGCCGCTGCTGCTGCTGCGAGGATGAGCAGAGTTCACGTGACTATAGTCTCTGCTCCTTGACGAGGTGTTGTGGTTCAGAATCACATTCATTTATACTGCAGGAAGAATCCGATGAGCTATGAAGCTCTTTTTCACAGATGTCCCATAGGGGCACGGGGTAAGAACGTTACAACAACAAACAGTAACACAAACAGGATAGGAGTGCAAAGTACAAGAAATGCAAACAAATCACCTAAATTTCGATTCAAAGCTTTCGTGACTGCAAGGATTCATCTTCTTTGGTTCTTTCGGTGAAGTCACGAAAGAACCACGTGACTTTACCGTAAGAACCAAAGAAAATCACCCAAACACCAACAAATACAACACTACACCATCCCCATCCTGCCAGGCAAAGCCCACTGAGGTTTTAACTTATTTTTCAGAAGCAACCTGGCAACAAATGACAGCTCAACAGAGTGGCCTATCATTTGGACATTTATAGCAGCACAAAATAATCTAAATAGCCTAAGCGCGTGTTTGTGGAGGGAAAAACCGGAGCACCCGGAGAAAAAATCCACGTGACCACGGGGAGAGAGAGAGACACGCAAACTCCAAATATACAGCAGCAGTAGACGTCAGGGTCGGGATCGAACCGCCGACCTCCTGTGTACCAGGCGACGTAGTTAACATCTCATAGCCACCCTGGCGTCCTTAAATAAATAAGGTACAGTAGAATTCGAACAAATCGGTGTTCGAACGATATTCCCGAACATTTTTTGCCCCGGAAACCGAACGAAATTCGGACGTCGAATGGGCAATCGCGACTTGAAAGAACTTCTACGGCTTAGGCGCGCATGGTCAACAGCGTGCACGACGCTTGCCCAGACAAAGGTTTTACCACCTCCGCCTCCTCACCACCTTCCACTCGAGCCATCAAATCTCCTTACTACAGGTAAAGTGAATTTCGATTTAAAGCTTTCGTGACTGCAAGGATTCATCTTCTTTGGTTCTTTTGGTAAAGTCACGTAGAATGAGAAAATCCTATGCTAATTCCTTTGTCAAGGCGCTTTGTTTCTTCTGACACAACTTAAAGGTCGTGATCTGAACGTGGCTCTTTCACTCCAGCGCTGTCCTACCAGACAGTCTCATCCCTCCACCTGATGAAGGCCGCTTGTGTTGTGGACGAAACGTCGAGAGAATATTATTGTGTTATTTTATTTTATCAATTTATTATTTTATTCTCATTCTACGTGACTTTACCGAAAGAACCAAAGAAGAGGTAAAGTGAAGTTCAATGTTCATTATTTCATTTATTTCCATATACACTATTTATTCATTCAATCCATTTATTTATTGTTTCTTGTTTTTGTTGTATGATTTTATGTGTGTAATTACTGTAAGCCTCGTGTAAAAAAATGCTTTATAATGAGATATTTCTTGTGTCTGGAACCAATTAATGTCATTTACATTCATTCTTATGGGGAAAATTAATTCTGTGTTCGAACAAATCGGTGTTCGAATGGCCTTCTGAAACGAAGGCCACTGTATATAAGTTAAAATTGCATCTTCAATTCCCAAGCTTCGGAAAGGCATTTCACTTGTGGCCAGCAGATTGTGTTATGAGCTGTGCGGCCTTGAAAAGTAAAACGTGTAAGAGGTGACGTTTCGGGCATAGGCCTACTGCAAGGAAGACCACAGCCATACACCGTCAGCAGTGGCGGCAGTTACAGGACACTGCAGTTACACAGAGTTACAAAGAGATCCATAGAGTTGCAGAGATCCAGAGTTACACAGAGATCCATAGAGTTGCAGAGAGATCCAAAAAGTTACACAGAGATCCATAGAGTTGCAGAGATCCATAGAGTTGCAGAGATCAATAGAGTTACATAGAGATCCATAGAGGTACACAGAGATCCATAGAGTTCCACAGAGATACATAGAGTTACACAGAGATCCATAGAGTTGCAGAGATCCATAGAGTTACATAGAGATCCATAGAGTTACACAGAGATACATAAAGTTGTAGAGATCCATAGAATTGCAGAGATCCATAGAGTTACATAGAGATCCATAGAGTTACAGCGAGATCCATAGAGTTACATGGAGACCCATAGAGTTACATAGAGATACATAGAGTTACACAGAGATCCATAGAGTTACATAGAGATCCATAAAGTTACGCAGATATCCATAGAGTTACACAGAGATCCATAGAGTTACATAGAGATCCATAGAGTTACACAGAGATCCAAAGTTACACAGAGATCCATAGAGTTACACAGAGATCCATAGAGTTACGCAGAGATCCAAAAAGTTACACAGAGATCCAAAGAGTTACACAGAGATCCATAAAGTTGCATAGAGATCAATAGAGTTAGACAGAGATCCATAGAGTTACATAGAGATCGATAGAGTTACACAGAGATCCATAGAAAAACATAAAGATCCATAAAGTTACACAGAGATCCATAGAGTTACACAGAGATACATAGAGTTACACAGAGATCCATAGAGTTGCAGAGATCCATAGAGTTACATAGAGATCCATAGAGTTACACAGAGATACATAAAGTTGTAGAGATCCATAGAATTGCAGAGATCCATAGAGTTACATAGAGATCCATAGAGTTACACAGATATCCATAGTTACACAGAGATACACAGAGTTACACAGAGATGCATAGAGTTGAAGTGATCCATAGAGTTACATAGAGATCCATAGACTTACACAGAGATACATAAAGTTGTAGAGATCCATAGAATTGCAGAGATCCATAGAATTACATAGAGATCCATAGAGTTACAGAGAGATCCATAGAGTTACATGGAGACCCATAGAGTTACATAGAG